GAGGTCGATGCGCAAAGAAGTGAGGAAGAAGCTTGGGATGCGGAAGAGAGGTTGAAGAAGAGGGGGAAGTAAGAATAGGAGTATCTATATAGTCTATATAGATAAGAATAGAGAGGAGGGAGAGGAGAATAGAAGAAGGAGGAGGAGAAGAGAGAGGCGAGAGAGAGAGAGGACAGAGAGAGAAAGGGGAGAGAGAGTAGAGAGAATGTAGGAATAGTAGGGAGAAGGAGAGAGTTGTAGAACAGAAGTGGACAGGGAGGCAGAGAGGAAAGACGACTGGTTTTGTTCAGCAAATCTGATTCATCCTCAGCAATGTTTGCAGGACATTCTACCATTCTGACGCTTTTCATTGCTTCACTATTGCGGCATCATGAGAACTTCCTTGTCATCGGGCAGAAAATTTCTGCTGGATGGCCTGCTCTGACGCGATATTGATTTAACAGTTGCGTTGTTCTGTTCCATGAGATTCTTTGATGACCACAACTGCTGTCACCTTCGACGTGTCTATTACCTGGAATGAGATATCTCCATGAAGTCTACGAGACGACAGCTTGACGAATTGCGCCAGTTTAACAGATGTGATACTACCAGACTACCGAGACAACCACTCATCGATCCTCCTCGAAAGTCGCACACACCTGGCATCGACCACCCTCGTCCACCAACTCGATAACCAAACCACCAAAACTCCCATCACCATAGCCGTGACGCCCCAACTGACCACAAACACCCCCATACCCCCAGCAAGTGCCTCCTCATCCGTCGCCGGGTACTCTCGCCCGGTCAGAATCCACCACAGTCCGTTCCGTACCGGATCCCGGGCAACATGATACACCGACTGATGCACCAGATACAGCGAGAACGAGATGCGTCCGAGAAATTGCGGCGTCGGCCTCTCCAAAGCTCTCTGCAGCACCTCCACGCGATCGATGGCATACACCACCAACAGCGATCCCACCGTCTTCCAGCATTTACTCACAATCGCCCAGTCGTCATCCCACCGCGGCGACTGCAGCGACCTCAGCCAATGATACCCAGGCGTAAGTATGCCATCATCACCGAGACAGAGCAAATGCAGCCCCAGGAGAAAACAGAATCCTGTCACCAGCATCCTTGCTTTTGCTTTTAGGCCACTGGCTGACGTGCTTGACAGACCGGCTTCGCCATCCTTCCTACCAACCCACCACCCTTCGCCCAACACCGCATCCCCACCACTCGAGTGCAACCCCTGAGCGAGCTCCGCAACCCCCAATCCTCCAAGAAAGCCCACCCCATCCCAAATCCCATACCACAGAAAATACAACGCCAACACGAACACTCCCCCAACGCGCATCTCCTTCCTCCAGAACGCCATCCCCAGAATGACAAGGTACACCATCAAACTCCCACGGAACTCGATCGGCATCGTCCATAGCTGTCCATTCAACCCGGGATTATGGTGGAACTGGATGATATTCACAATGTCCAGCAGATACCGCAAGAGATAGGTGAAATGGAACACCGGCGCGGTCCACGGCCGCCGACCCCAGACGACATTATCGCCAAACGACCAGTGATACAAGCCGCAGAAAAACAGCAGCTGCGAGAGGATGGCGACAAGAAAGACCGGCAGATAGATGCGGAAGATCCGGCGAGTCGTCGCGGAGGAGAGTCCGCGAAGCAGGTTTTGGTTTGTCGCGGACGACGCGGTCAGCGAGGAAGATGGCGCATCGCGGAGACGAAACAGGTTGATACTCAGAGCGTAGCCCGAAATCACGAAGAATAGTGCCACCATGGCATGGGCGGAGAAGAGCAGGCGGATTGGGGGCAGTTGGATGAGATGTCGGTTGGCCGAGGCGGGGTCCGCCCAGTAGGAGTGGAAGGCAAAGTCGAAGATTCCGCCCATGAAGAAGTGGTTGAAGGCTACTATGGCGGCTGCGAGGCCGCGAAGGCCGTCCAGCCACGCTGTGCGAGGTTTGTCCATGGTATGCTGCATTGTATGCTGTGATGATGATGATGATGGAATCATTGACTGCAGCATTGCAGTTAACGAAAGCGGGAGAGGCGGAGGGGATAAGACGGAGGAAGAAAAAGGGATCAATCCATGGATGGAGACTGGACTCGGATCCACACGCTAAATTAGTATTTTTAGCGTGCGACCATGACTGGTCCCTGTCTCTAATTATTCAGGCGACTGATGGAAAAGATTCACAGGGTTTATTTCTGCTGGGGTATATACAACATTTCCCGATCGGGTAATCTCATGCAGGCATCTACCGCACTACCGGCGTTGCTGCCTACTCACTACAGGTCACTACAGGCCGAGTTCCAATGCTCGACTCTCCTCGTCAACCAGCCACTGGTCCACGGTAGCGAGCTCTGCCGCCTGGAATCGCCCTCGGGGATCCCGCTTCCCAGCCGGATCATACTATCGAGCATACATCGATCCTCATAGAAGCTCCACTGCACGCACTCGCCCCACGCTACGCAGGCAGCCTCGCACTTATCCACCGACATCCAGGCCTCCTTCCAGGCCTGCGGCTTGGTGACGGTTTCTGGCACCGTCACTGCCTTGACATTACTGGAGCGGATATCGTATTTGGCCGCGCCATTCTCCCACCACTCCACTCTCTCGCGCAAGTACGGCAGCACCATCGCCTCGTACACATCCCTGTACCGGATGGGGCCCCGGGCCTGCACGTCGCCCCACCGCATCTCCAATTCGTACAACCGGGCCACATCGCGGTTGTGCGTATGGTGCCAGCTGAACACGGGCCTGCACCAATTTTCCTGCTCGTACCAGCTCGTCCAATGCGCCTCGGGATTGAACCCGTAGCTGAAGCGACTCTCTTCGACCTCCGGATGCTCTCCGAACCCCACGCCACTCTCTTTCAGTACGTGGCCGAGAATGTGGTCTCCGCACCCATGCTGCGCCGTGAACTCAGCATACTTCTCCTCGATATTGACTTTCCCATCCCCAAACGCCATCTCCCACGCCTTGCGCGAAATGGCAAACCCAGACCCGCCGTGGGCAAAATAGTCCCCATGGATCCAGGCGACGCTGCCCAAGTACCAGGGTTGCCGGTGGTCGAAGCGCTCCAGGTGCGCGAGGAGGTTAGGTAGGAAGAGGTAGGCGTCGTCCTCCATGAAGATGTACCATTTAGCGTCCGGGCGGGCGCGGCCCGCGTGCTGCACCAGCGGTAGGAACTTGTACTTGTCGAGCTTCCAGCCGCCCGCGGGGCCCGAGTTATCACCCGGATACACGTTGTTGATCTCGGCGTAGTTCTGGCGGAAGTCGTGGTCGGCCTGTTGGCGGTAGGGGAGAGCGATCTCGGGGTCGTTGATGGTCGTATTGGCGAGGACGTCGATGAAGGTCCACGCGCCGATGGTCTCGGGGCTGTCGGAGTAGAGGAGGATGTTGGCCGGGGGGATGCGGGTGGGGGCGAGGGTGGTGGTGAGGTGGATGGGGACGCGTTTCCAGAGGACGGAGGCGCCGGTTTTGAACATGAGCACGATGTCGTTGACGGTGAGGGAGGAGGAGGAGGAGGAGGAGGAGGAGGAGGAGGTGGTGGTGGTGGTTGTGGTTATTTTGTCGGAGGCAGGGGAGGTGGAGGAAGCAGAGGAGGCTACCGCCGAAGGAGCGGGTTTCTGCGGTGTAGAGGTGTTTTCATCTTCGGCGATGAAGGGAGGTGAAGGGGGCACCACTACAGTGGCCTCTCCTGCTTGGTAGGGTGTTTGCGTGGTATACGCAGTCGACGAGACCCATGGGGGGCGATCGAGGGCAAAATGGTAGAGGAACAGACAGACGGCCACCAGGATGATCCCGAGCGGGACGCGACGGTTGTCTTGGTAAAATCGACGCATGATGAGAGTGTCTTACCTCCGATCATGACCGGGCTCGTGCGAATTCGGGGTGCATAACAGGAAGGGTTTTATATCTTGGGCTGCAGCCAAAGGTAGCAGATACCGATTGTACAAAACTGGTCAGTGGTGATTTTATTACTACCCCTCAATAGATTTTCGAGGGTCCTCGGTCTGACCCCTATACAAAACCCCCGAAACCCCACCACAAAAATTAGTTAAATGAATGTCTCAGGCGCAAAGCAGCGTGATTGGCAGGTGCCTGGCGAGACATGGACAGATGCCTGCGCTAAGCCCACTTGGGCTACCACGGACAAGGCTGTTGTCTTGCCCGAAATAGTTTAGAGTGCGGCTATTGCAGTTCTGCAGACCAATTCCAGCCAAGGGTTTAAGGAGTAAAAATAATCTCCGTGTCTGCAGTCAAACCCGCGCCGATACGAGCCACACGAGGGTCCTGCCATGGCCTATCATTAGACCCATTGGCACTTGGCCTCTCAATTTCGGGAATCGCTTTGGCCCAATTCAACGGTATTACTCGGTACTACTAGTCGAACTCCCTGACTAGCACTAACTCCAGTCCAGGGACTAGTCAACTCTACTAGTGAATCCATCATTGAGATTTTTTTTGCGGGTGACTCCATCATGGCTCCATCTGCGGTCCCCAAGTCAATAGGGGACCAAATAAATATACCAATGCATCCGATGCAGCACCCCGAAGAATGTAGTCGTAAGCAGACACAGCGACCATCCTCATGGACCACCCACCGATCATCCCCCAACGGGGCCCCCAGGTGCCCCTGCTGCGTCAGATGCTTAACGGGCTGGGCTGTCTGCTGGTGCTGCCACTGTACTACTACCTCACCGCCGCCACCCGCCATCCGCTCACCTTAGACCTGTTACTCACCATCCTCGCCGCCGAATACAACCGCTTCACCAACGAGCGGCGGCGGCGCCGCGTCTACCAGCCCGCTGCCGCTGCCGCTGCCGCTGCCGCCGATCCCGAGAAGCCGCGGGTGGTGGACGCGCACGGCGGGCCGGACTGCATGGCCGCGGTGGTGGGCTACCGCGAGGACCCGGGGCTGTTTGCGCGCGCGCTGAACAGCTACCGCGCGGCGGAGGGGTGTCGCTTCATGCTGGTGGGGATCGACGGCGACGAGGAGGCGGATATGGAGATGGTGCGGGTGTTTCAGAACGTATGCCATCCTCTCGCTTCTGTATCAACCAGCTACAGTGACAGTCCATCACTAACAAACAACAGATCTACCCTGACGCTCCCACCATCCACCTCGACACACCCCTAGGCGATCTCGCCACACGCACCTTCGACAAACTGGCCACGGCCGACCTGCACGCCTCCCCGGAAGAAAGCTACCAACTCGCGAGCATCGCGCACTGCTGCGACCTGGCGCGCGAGATCCTGGGAGAACACAACCTCCTCTCCGGCACGGGCCCGCAGCAAGTATGCATCTACCAGCCGCACCACAGCAAGAAAGCGATTATGTTCACGGCCTTCATCTTCAGCCTGGTGCTGGCGGACGCGCGCGGGATCGAGTACCTGTGGTCGTCGGACTCGGACACCCTGGTGTACGCGGACTCGCTGCGGCGGACCGTCGCGACCATCGCGGGCGACCCCGCCGTGGGCGGGGCTAGTTCGGGCCTGCTGGTGCACAACGCGGGGGATTCGGTCGTGGCGCAGCTGGGCAGGATCGTGTACTGGTGCGAGCTGTACCTGACGCGGTCGGTGGCCACGGCGGCCGGCACGAGCGACTGCCAGAGCGGGCCGAGCTCGGCGTTTCGCGTGACGGCGTTGCCGGGGATTCTGTATCCGTGGTATACGCAGGAGGTTTGGGGGCATCGGATGGTGAGTCTAGGTACCCCCAGCACGTTTGAGCCCCGGTAGGGGGCGAACCACCCTTCTTTGCATATCCAGCCTACGGCCATCCTCTACATTCGATAGCATGCTAACAAAAGCCAACGAAAGATCGTCAACGAAGACCGCCACCTAACGACCAACCTCCTCCTCCGCGGCTGGACCGTCACCTACGTATCCGACACACTAACCGCAACCGACACACCAACGAACCTCCGTAAATGGATTCTGCAGCAGGTACGCCCTTACACCCTTACCCCCGATCCCCATTTCCTCAAGCCTCCCCTCCCCCTTCTCCCATAATTATGTTAACAATAACAAGGTCCGCTGGTCCCGCTCCGGCCACATCGAATCCCTGCAATCACCAACCCTCTACCTCCTAACCTCCCCATTATTCTTCTGGGCCGCCATAAAACGCGAAGCGGGGCCCCTCCTCGGGCTAGGCTACATCCTCTACTACCTCTGCACCGGCGCAAGCCTCGCCTACTTCTCGTGGACGGATCTAGTCGTCCGCCTCGTCTACACCATCCTGTACAATATCCTCCGGAACCCGGATCGCAGCGTCAGGAAGGTAGTCCTGTGGGTGGGTCTACTCCCGGCGCTACTGTTCTATAATATCCCGTTGCCGATCGTGCATTTCTGGAGCGCGGTGACCGTGCTGGAGGATGGGTGGGGGACGAGTATGCGCTCTAAGGAGGCGGGGGTCGTGCCGGATGTTAATCAGCTTCCTGACACTTCTGGAGGAGGAGGAGGTTTTTCGGGGGGGAAGAAGGGGGATGGGGAGAAATTCGGGGGTGCGACTGGGCCTGGGGCCACTGGCAGCGGCGCTGGGATGTGGAAGCGGTGGAAGGAGCTGGGGTTCTTTGTCGTGTACATGGGGATTGTGGCGGGCGTGGTGGCCAGAATCCTGGCGGGACATCTCGGGTATGCGGTGTTGCAGACGGAGCGGGCGGTTTGGGGGGCGGTGATTGTTGGGTTCGGGGCCGCGTTTTGGGGGTTGGTGGTGCGGGAGTAGATTGCTGCCGCTGGGGGGGAATACTGCACATATATATACTAGTATCTACGGATAACGAGGAACTTGGTTAAGTGGCATGTCATGACAGTCCGCGGGACAAAAAGCAAAAACGCTGTTTAGCATCCAAATAACACGATATCTTGACTATACTATCCTATCACCGCATCGCAACTTTTTACTCCCCCCAATAGCAGCCTCTATTTCCGATCCACTCAATACCCCTCCTCATCCACGCTATACTCCCGGTACATAATCATACTGTACCGTGCAAACGCACTCCGCGCCCGCAGGCCCCGCCCATACTGCGCGAACAGCGGCGGCACCAGACAGAACACCGTCGCGAGGGCGGCCAGCACCGAGACGGCGCCGTTGGCGCCCAGCCGCTGCAGCATGGGCGCCGATACGAGCGGCAGCACGGCCGACAGGGTGGCGCGCACCAGGCTCAGCGCCGCCAGTCCACTGGCCGCGTAGCTCAGATAGCTGTCCGTCAGGTACCCGCCGAGCACGTAGTCGATCTCATTCAAGCTAAAGCCCAAAAGCACCAGGGCCACCACCGACACCAGCCAGGGCACGTGCGCCATCGCCGGCGGGATCGTCCACGCGAACACCCACAGCGCCGCCGCCAGCACGGGCGTGCCGATCCAGAACCCCAGGAGCTTGTCCTCGGGCTGCAGCGGGCGGCCCTGGCGGCTGTGCTGCGCGATGATGCGCAGGTCGATCCACCGCGTCACGAACCCCAGGAACAGACCGAGTCCGATGGCGAGGAAGGGCAGGCACGCCTCGCGCGGGCTAAACCCGAACGACATGTAGATCGGGGGCAGCGCCTGCGTGAACAGGTACACCAGCGCGATGGCCACGGCGCTCATCACCGCCACGATGAAGACGATGAGCTCCGTGCACAGCAGCCGGATCGGCCGGAACAGCGCCAATCGCACAAAGGTGTGCAGACCCGGGGCTTGGTCTGGGTTCAGCGCGTCCGGGGTGCGGATCTGCGTGACCTGCCGGAAGAGCGCCACCTCCCGCGCCAGCAGTAGCGAGGGCCGCGACTCGCGGATTGTTAGTAGCAAAAACGCCAGTACCCCGGTCACCATGGCGGCCACGTAGAATAGCCATCGCCTGAGGGTTCGTTAGTGGCATTTTCTCGGAAGTAACTTCTCTTCCCAGTGGGGAGGAGAATGGGGTAGAGCACACCAGTTCATATCCGCCACGACAAAAGTACTCAGAATCGGACCGACAACCATCCCCAGATTGGCAGCCTGCACCCAGATGCAGATCATCCACACGCGCTCCCGCGAGTTGAACAGATCCTCAATGCTGCCGCCCACCACCGTCGTGGGAATCGCCGACAGAATCCCGCTCATGAACCGTCCCACGACCACCCCGGCCATCGACGGCACCGAGGCCACCACCACACACGCCAGGCTGTACAGCGCGGAGCTTACGACATACAGCTTCTTCCTCCCAAACGCCTCCGAGTACGGCGGGAAGATGATCCCCCCACATGCCTGGCCGATCAAGTACCTATGAACTAAGTCAGTCTTCCCCAACCAGCAAGGGTTGACAGACACTCACACGGACACAAAGAGGAAGATTGACAGCTCCTGCGGGACATCAAATTCGCATAGAGTACTGTTTGCAGCGGTGGACTAGACACGTCAGCTCCCTAAGCATCACTGCACGAATTGAAGACTTACACCCGCCGTGCTCACTGCCGTGCTGAAAGTACAATATACCTCATGGTCAGTCACAGCCACTCCAGCACCCCACATGAATAACACTTACGTAAAGAACTCCAGGAACAGAATCAGAGCGATGTCCCAGATCTTCCGCCGCAGCCTCCAATTTCGTGGATGTCGACGATTGCCAACCGCCCACCGTATGTGCAGGCCGTCTGCAGCCATACGAAGGCCATACTGCGGGAGCAACGACTGCAGAACGTCCTTCTCGGACTCAATCGAGAGCGTGGTGATTTGGCTGGTGGGTTTCATGGCGCAGAATAGAACAAAGTCTTACTCAGTCAAACATTGACCGGATACCGTCTGTCGGCAGGCAAGGGGTCCATGGTTGTGTGTATTTATTCAAGCTGGCATTGAGCCCTGTGGAACGCAAGCACGGACTTAAACGGAAGTAACTCACCACAGGGAGCTCTGGGCCCTCCGATTCCATAGGTCCTCAATCGGGTCTTTCTGAAGCAAGGCTAACGCCTAGGTTGAGTCCACTGCTGCCTTCGCGATTATCCCTCATCTTGACTTGTGCCATTCTCGGGATGCTGAGGCGCCTATTCTCCTGAAATGCACGACCCAGTGCCACCAATAGACAGCCGAAAGTTCTGGACCTATCATCGATCGGCTTTTACCCGACAAATTGCTAAGGTATACGCCTGTACTCCAGTGCGGATCGACGTATCCGACCTTCAGCATGGTACTACTTCGGAAGCGTGACGGGAGAGGCTTTGCATGTGCTTGGTTCTATTCGTTGCATTCGTGGCTTCTGAAATTTCCCTACTCTCATGTCTCAAGTCATATATCGTCTTAGACTAGCTCCAAATCCATCCACACTGGGAATCCATTAGTCTGGGCCATACCTGGCTACATGTTCCCAAGCTTTTTCTCATTCCAAATCTCCGTCGTTATCTCCATCACCATTCCCGCCTCCCTGGTGGTTGTCAGCCCTTCCGTTTCCGTTATATGCCAGTAGATTCGGGCTTCCAGCGGTATTAGTGACTACGTTCCGCGTGGCCAATGCCTTCAGGCGGGCTGTCACCGCAGCTGGCGTAGACAGGTTCTCAAGCGCCATGAGGTACATGGTCAAGCCAGCAACGTGGGGCGTGGCCATTGAGGTCCCCGAGATGCTCCGGGTCGTTGTGTCTGATCCTATCCAGGAGGAAAGAATATCCTCGCCGGGAGCAAAAATGTCGACAAAAGAGCCGTAGTTGGAAAAGTTAGAGCGCGAATTACGTCGGTTGATGGCAGCCACAGTAACAGCATCGGGCGCAGACGCGGGGCTCGTCCGCGAGGCATCTCTCTATTTTCCTTCAGCAATCATTCAGAACATGAGGCTGTGAGCACATACATTCTCGTTACCTGCAGCAACAATAGAGAGCACTCCCTCATCGAAAGCATTTTCGACCGCATCGTTGAATGTGCTGGAATAGCTTCCACCTACACCGTAGTCAGCGATAGGCTCGCACAAACAACACAGAAAATATACCCAAGCTCATATTGATGACGGATTTGCTCGTGCGGTTCTTGCTCACGATATCATTGACAGCCCAGTTGAAGCCATCGAGGATGACCGAGGTGGAGCTGGATTCCCCCACAAAGACCTTCACCGAAACCAGAGTCGCTCTCTTCGCCACGCCGTACGTCCGTCCACCAATAATTCCGGCAACATGTGTACCATGTCCGACACCATCAACGTGCTGTCCTCCGGCAGCATTGTATGCCAAGAGGACGCGACCACCGAATTCGTCATGAGAGCTCAAGATGCCTGTATCTACAATATAAGCATAGGTGGCAATTCCGGCGCTATCATCATAGATGTAGTCCGTGCTATTCTGTCCTCGATGGGAGATGCATCCTAGACCCCACGGCGCATTGCGCTCGGTGACCAGTCCGTCAAGTTCCCAGACCTGGTCCTCCTCGACGTTCGCAACCTATGAAAACATTAGCATCGCCAATTGCGTTTGGAAGGTCAACAAGAACAAACGTCTGCGTGTTGGCGAATGGCCGCAATGGTTGCATCGTCAAAGGAACCAGCGTACGCAGAGAACCTGTTGATTTTATAGTATCTTTCAATGCCAGCTGGAAGGTCTCCCTCGATAAAGCTACGGCCTTCAAGGTGCCGCCTGTGAAGGTTGGTCGCCCAAGCTGTATGCTCGTCGATCTTGGCATCGTCGGTTCCCGGCTTGAAGGTGACAATATACTTGCCCGGAATCGTCTGCAAAGTCTGGCGACTTTCGAGAGTCGGCGCAGCAAGCACGGCAGATAGAAGGGATCCGAAGACCAGCAAGAAACTTCTCAATGAGACCATGGTGCACCATGCAAAGTGGGAGAAAAATTACACCTCCAAGAAAAATTCGAGCAATGCAAAAGCGTGCTAGGGTACTCGCTTTATATATCTTCAGCATTGCGAACTTCGTCTAGAACTGTTAGCCTATCACTTACAGGGCCGCCTGCCTTGCAAAAGAGCGAGACCAGGGCCTAAGATCTCTGAGCATATTCAAAACTCTGGGGGTAACATTGCATTCTCAGACGACTTGGTTGTGTCCTATTAGGCAAGGCGCCATGCACACACCATGGGTGATTTTGGGCCGACGCAAAGGACCAGGGATCGCGGTGACAAGCGGCACAGAGCTTATTTCTCCGACCCCAGAAAGGCCTCGAGTCGAACCAATTTGGGTACATCTACCAGACTGAATGCCATACATTCATTCATGCAAGCCTTGTGGCGTCGACGGTTCCACTGCTGGCGTGCCATGGCCGGATATATCGTATTGAGAACAACATCCCTTATTCGTTTCCAGATGAACTCTGAATTCTAAAACCAGATAGAGAAGCAGAAGAAACTCTCATTGCCAGGATGTTGCGCAAGGAGCCCTGGAAAACGGGGTAATGCTTGACCACTTGTCCGAAAAATCGGTGCGACCCACCCTGGGTAGCTGATTTCTCACGAGGTGGAAACCATTGCATGCACTTATTAACTGTCAAGCAAGTCTCGATTGGGCGATAAGAGATTATCAGTAAACAAGAAAGTGTAGAGACCACGGCCTAAGGCCATTCCCGCACTGCCCTTCTGGGTTCAAGGGTTGCACAGTGAGCTCAGGCGCGTTGATCATCCACTGCAGACTGGGTTTCTAGACGATCGCCCCCTCTTGTAGGGCGAGGAGCCAGCTTGCCGGTCCGACGTGCTTGTGATAACGCGAGGCACCTACCACCAAGTCAGTTACGAAAGCTTGGTACGACCAACCTGCCCCTGAGGATGCGCATGTGCCTGAGGAAGTCTTCTGATGTGTCGAAACCTAATCATGGCCTTGATGCGAATCCGACTGAGGACGAGGGCAGTTGGGCAAGTGGTTCATTGATGGTTATTCCTCATCGAGCCGTAGCGATGGGGTTCACAACGGCCAAGACAGCTGATGGTAGTTCAATTGGCGAGGCATCTGAAAGTCTGGTTTAGCACAACTTGACCCCCGTAACGGAATTGTCGACCCCATTAATGAAAGATAGCCATCAGGAGCAGGTTCTACCATTGATGACGCTAATCCCTGTGGTATGGTTTTGAGATTACTCGCAGTGTACATCGTTCGCAACTCTGACGGGGGACAAGTCGATGGACCTCTCCTGTTTGCTTCTCTGCAGGGTCTGGATGCAGCCAAGCCCCTCGCACACGTCTGGTGACGAAGATTTTCTGAACGGGCCTTGGGTGCAGTTCGAATAGGTAGGGTTGCATCAAGGCAGCCATCGAGACTGTCGTGACCGCAATGGAGACCCCTCGGGCCAGTCGGATAATTTCATCGGGGTGCAACAATTGGAGGTGGGAGAGGGGGTTTAGTGTAATGGGAAAGTGTGGCAGGCGCGGTCTGACCGGAGTTGTTGTTGTTGTGTTGGTTGCACCGAGTCCCGTGATCCCGCTGGCAGGAGGTTTATGTCAGGCACAGGACAATCCATTGGACCGCACAGCATGATCTTCAGCGCTGAATACTACGTGAGAACCACATTTAATGTAATGAGTAGATCAACAAGAGATAAGAAGAAAGGGTATGTCAAATTCAGTAGCGAACTATCTCCCTCTTTCTATTAACATGCGTAGGCTTCTCTCATCTGCAGCCATTTATTTGCATGCATGCAACTATCCACCCTCTGTCCAATGACCCCGCCTAGAACATTTTACAAGTAAGATCCCCATTTACAAAGACTTCTTCCCCGCAAACCTCTTGTCCGCTTCCTGGTTAGTGAACGGGAAGCCACTGCTCCGCTTATCGACGCCAGTCTTGCGGTTGATCTTGCCTCCGCTGCTCGCAAACAGCGCGCACCACACTCCGACGAAAGCAATGGCGGCATATCCGATCATCCCGACCGCGTAGGCGATCTGGCCCGTAGCCACATACCAGATGTATGCGTAGCCCGCTGACGCGCCGTGGAAGACGGTCGTGACCATCATGGTCGGCACGGCATAGGGGGCCTTGGGGTCGGAATCGTCCGTGGTGACGGGTTGCGCGATGGAGGTGGTCAAGGGCACGGACCCGGTGAGCATGACGGTGAGAACAGCGATGAGGAGTAGACTGAATCCCAAGCAGCGGGAGAAGTATGTTTCGAGCGCTGTTGCGGGTTAGCCACGACAGCCGAAAAGACAATCTGTTTGGCGGTTACTCACAGGAAGGGTCGCGGGTTTCGGTCAACAACATTGTGGTCATCATCTCCGGCACCGCGATCAGAGCCAAGCTCTGCAGTCCAAGCCAGCCGGCTGTGGAGTAGGTGTAGGCGTAGAAAACCTGCGGCGCGCGAATTGGTTAGCTCTGTGGTATGGTGAGAGACCGGGAGGAGGACAGTCGTACATCCATGATGCGGGAGTAGGTGATGCCTTCTGGCGATATTCAATTGTGTTTTGGGTTAAGAGTGTGTTTAAACTGTTCAGTGATTAGGTAGGTAAAGGAAGTTGAAAACACCATAGGCAGCAATTAGTGGTAATTATAAGTTGTTGTAAGGCAGGGATCATTCCCCATGAGGTCATCGCTTGTTCAGCCCCGATGATGTCACTGCCGGGTTTCCCGCTGATTCAGCCTGGCTCTTTTTCTCTACGTATTCATCTGTTGTCACTGCAACGAGATTCGGGTGAATAAATGGAAAAAGCAAAAAAGGGGAAAGAAGACGAGTTTCGACGTTTCAAGCTGCCAGTCCATAGGGCAGAGGCGGGTTGCTGCAGGTTGACTGAGCTGGTACTACCACACCCACTACCATCAGACTATCTACCCCAGGCATCTCCACCACAGCTATAATTCTGATCTGTTATTATTTACGGCCAAGCTGTGAAGAGCGATCAACTCTTCCCAGCGTGGACTAGATGGATCCATGTTGGGAATGGATCAAATTGCAATTACCACACCCGAATCATCATTCACGGATCATCATTGTCTATGTAAATTGCCATGGCTAGATTCAAATCTCCACCATCAACGCCGTTTCAAACCCCCAGAGAAAGGAAAAACGTGCAAGGTCGACTCATGGTCAGGTATCACTGGTTGATGTTGCTCGCGCGCAGGTATCTGGCAAAGCTGAGATCCTGGTCGGAGGGCGCGGTGCCCTGTTCCGCCAGCGCGTCTTTGTAGCGTTGCGTAAGCCCTTCACTGTCCCCGGCACGAGGGATCCTGTAGTCATCCTCACTGTCCTCATCGTCATCCTGGTCGCCATTCCGGCGTGCCTCCTCTTCCTCCTCAGCCTCGCTGACCGTCTCGGCTTCATTCTCCACCTTTTGCTTGCCCTTGCTCGAGCCAGAGACGTTCATATCCTTCATCAGCTTGCCCAGCTCGAGCTCGCGTTGCGCCGCCTTCGTCTCCTCACGCTCCTTCCTCTTGCGCTCCAACTCGGGCTTGTAGTCGCGCTCGAACTCCTGGCGCTTTTCTTCCACGGCCTCAAAGAACTCGTCGATGCCTTCACCCGTCATGGAGCTGACCCCGACCAGGTTCAGGTGTCGGTAGAACTCCTCCAGCATCAAGCTCATGCTGTTGAGCAGCGAGCCCATGTAACCACTCCCCGAGCCAAAGCCGCCCGCGGCGCCCTCAGTACCAAACGCGCCCGACTCCTCTTCCTCTCGCAGAGCCTTCTGGAAAGCGTCAAAATCGGTCATCCACTCCTTAGCGAATTCGGCGTCTTGGACATCGGTCTTGTTGAAGACAAGGATCATGGGCAACTTCGTCTTGTATAGGATACTGCAGGCGTAGAGCATGTTGCTCATGAAGGTACTCGTGGAGCTGGCGCGGGGAGTATCAATAACGTAAGCGATCACAGTAGGGAATGACGAGGCCAAAGTCTCGAGGAGGATGCTGCCGGAGGCACTCCACACGAACACCTCGATCTGACCAGGCGTGTCGACCAGGATGTGCTCGATGGGCTTGGCGGTCGGGTTGCTGGGGTTGGGAGCCGTCCGCTTCTCCAGCAACGAGATGATTTGATCGACTTTGGTGGCAAACAGATTCAGCGATGTAAGGATACCGCCGTTGGGTCCGAGGTTGTACTGCTTCATCACTTCTCGATAGTTGATGGAGTCACGGATGTCGATATTGCTCTCGAAAGGAACCGTGTGGACGGCGGGGTCAAGGTTGAGGACATAGGGGACGGTCTTCTTTGAGTGGAGGTAGGAGTTAATTCGCTGCATGAAAGTCGTCTTTCCAGAGCCTGAGTGAAAGATAAATCGGATTGATTAGATGCATTGTCAGTGAGGGGGATGATCGCCATGACACTTACCTGCCATGCCCACGCAAACAACGGCGACCGGAGACTGTGCCATCGTGAAGTTGAGAGAGAATATCACCAAACAAAGATCAAAGACGGGCAAGGGAGGTAAAGCAACCCAGTCAGAGGATGTCAGTAAATCTGCTTAACAAGGGGAATGATGGAAGGCAGAGTATCCGTTGGACGGCGAGGCGTAGAAATTCTTTTGTCGCGGGGAATTGCAGGTGGAGTCCGTTTGGCCGGAACCGTTCCAGACGTCATGGCGTTCCTCCGCCGCCGCCTTTTTCCCTTGCTTCGCTTTCTTCCCTCCCAACAACACGAGCTCTGCCTCGCAACCATACCAACACCATGGCGCTAGAGGATTTCGAAAAGTCGCTAGCAGAGGAGCAGGAGAAAAGACGCGAGAGAAGCGATAAAGACAGACACCGCCACCACCGTGACCGAGACAGGGACCGCAGTCGCGAGCGCTCGAGGCACCACCGTCACCACCGTCGTTCATCACGATCGAGAGAGCGCGACCACGACAGACATCGCGAATCGCGTCGGAGCGACGATACTAGTCACCGACACAAACGCTCGCGTCATTCAACCGACCATGGAGACGATCGCGACCATGACCACAAGCGCCGACACAGGGATAGCAGGGACGAGGAAAGGAAACCGGCAGCCGAAGCAGCAGAAGTGGCTCAGGACGAGGCTCCCAAGCTAAAGCGAGACGCTTGGATGGAGGGACCCTCCAGTCTCGATATCGACTATGTCCAGCGGCGCTCGACCACGCGTTTGGAAGAGGAACCGAAACCCAAGATGCTTTCGGCAGACTACGAGCTGAAAATTCACGGTCGGGAAATCAACACTCACTTACGTGATCTGAAGGATGGAAAGGTGCTTGAGGAAATTGAAGAGAAACCCGCTCAGCATGAAGTCGACTACACATTTGGCGACGCCGGCTCGCAATGGAGAATGACCAAGTTGAAAGCTGTGTATAGAGAGGCAGAGGACACCGGGTTGTCCGTGGAAGAGATTGCGGTCAACCGCTTCGGAGATCTCCGCTCATTCGATGACGCACGCGAGGAGGAGGCAGAGCTAGATCGCCGTGAAAGATATGGTGAAGGTTATGTGGGAAAGGAGAAGCCCTCAGGCGAGCTCTTCCAAGAGCGGAAGCAACAGGAAAACGTTCACCGCGGCGCGCATGAGCACTTTCGCAGTCCTACCGAGGAGCTCAATGCTAAAGGACAGGGCAAGCCAATGGAGACCGTCCCGCCTCAGAACACCACCCAGCATCTTGATTTAACAGCACTCAACCGACTCAAGGCTCAAATGATGAAGGCCAAGCTCAAGGGTGCGTCGGATGCCGCTGAGCTCGAGGCGCAGTACAATGCCGCAGCTGCTGCTATGGCCAACCGCAAAGAGTCAGACGTCGTGGTCTTGGGCGTCATGGAGAACCGGATGCTGGCTGGAAAGAGAAACGAAGTCAAGGCAGTTGAAAACAGACGGGGCCGTGAGCGAGGCAAGGTGGAAGACAACGATGACATGACCATTGAAGACATGGTTCAAGAAGAACGACGGACGCGCGGACAATATGGGGGAGACGGCCGGCGTATCGCGGAGAGAATCGCCAAGGACGCCAAATTCGAGGTGAGGGCTTCTATTAGCAGATCGAGATTGTCCGCTAACATTCCAACCAGAATGATCTCGAATACATGGACGACAATGCATCCAAGCTTGCCCGTCGGGTGCACCGCTCCGAAATCGATATCAAGAATACTACGATCAATGAGCTGCAAAAGATGAACAAGATCCTCGACAATTGTCCCCTATGTCATCATGAAGACACGAATACGCCTCCTATCGCACCTGTCGTCTCACTAGCGACGAGAGTTTACCTCACACTCCCCACTGAACCCGAGCTCAGCAACCAATGTGCCACCATCGTTCCCATCCAGCATCGCACGAACTTATTGGAGTGCGACGACGACGAGTGGGAGGAAATCCGCAATTTCATGAAGAGCCTGACGCGCATGTACCACGACCAAGGCCGGGACGTGATTTTCTACGAGAACGCGGCCCAGCCCCATCGCAAGCGACACGCAGCAATGGAGGTGGTCCCTCTCCCTTATAGCCTTGGCGAGACATCCCCAGCCTTCTTCAAGGAGGCCATTTTGTCGTCCGACGCGGAGTGGTCTCAGCACCGCAAGCTAATTGACACGCTTGCCAATTCCAAGAAAGGCATGGGACGGAGTGCTTTCCGCCGCAGCATTGCCAAGGAGATGCCGTACTTCCACGTGTGGTTCAGTCTCGACGGCGGCCTGGGCCATGTGGTGGAAGACGAGAACCGCTGGCCGCGTGGAGACCTATTTGCTCGGGAGGTCATCGGAGGGATGTTGGATCTGGGCCCGGAGGTGATCAAGCGGCAGGGCCGCTGGCAACGGGGCGGTGATCCACGAGTGCCGGTGTTCCAGAAGCGTTGGAGGAAGTTTGACTGGACTCGAGTTCTTGTCGAGGGGTGATTCGTGTGAGATAATTGGGAGAGCTATGCCTTGCACAAAAGTCTGGTCACACGAGCTGGGATATGCAGAAGAAAGATGAAGCATAAAATAACAGCTCACTTTGCTCTCACTTTGTGAAGCAGTACTGTATACATCATACTATAACTTTCACTTCTTCCAGATCTCTGGTCTGATTTCAGTTCTCCTCTCTCCACATCCTTCCACCTCCAACGCATCATCCTTGTTCTCATCCCTCTCACCTCCACCGCGTCATTCTCGTTCTCCTTACTATCGAATAAACCCAACTCAACTTCCACCCTCCACAGGCCAATCAACCGTCCACGTCATCTTCCACAAAACCATAAAACCAAAAGCAGAAATGACCCCCAAAGCAAACACCAGCCAAAAGCGCAAACGCATCCCCACCAAAGGAAAAGAAACCAAAAAACAGCGCAAGAGGAAGACCACCACCCTCAAAACCACCGCACCATCATCCCCGGACACCCAAAGCCACGCCACTACACCACCTCGAACCCCAACAGCCCCCCCCTCATTCTTCCTCGAAACCCTCTCCACCAAGGACAAAGCCGCCCACACTCGCCTACAGCAGCAGATCCTTGCCGAAACCGAAATCCTACACGTCTACCTCCGCAGCCTCCGCAACCAGCTCACGCAACCGCTCTCCCGCGAGGCACAGTACGCGATCTGCAAAGCCAACGCCAAGGCCATCGCAGCGCAGTATGCGATTCTGGGCGACCTAGAAACGGATCTGGAGTATTTCGGACGGAGCGTCGAGCTGCATGCGCTGGATGAGGCTGCCGCGGTCAAGAAGGAGAAAACTGGAGAGCTGATCTCGTCGAATCCGACCTGGGCGGAGGTGGTCGCAGCATGGGGCCAACCGGTCGCGGATCGTGTGCGGCGCGACACGCACTCCGGTCACTTTTGTACGTACCTGGCTTGGTTTGCAAAGCGGGGGTTTGAGTGGAAGACCGTCGCGAATCTGCTGGCGACGGCCGTGATCAACCGGCTGGACGACTCGCGGCGTCCGAGTTGGCTGGCGCTGCTGACGGTGGACGCGGTCTACGCGAAGAAGGAGATCCCGCGGCCTGCGCCGGTGCTGGCGGCGAAGGATGTCCTACGGGTGGGGTGTCGGTTGGATCGGTTTGGGTTGCTGGTGCCGATGTCAGTGGAGGAGAGGGAGTGGGCGCGGTTTTTGTGAGGGGTGGTGGGTTTATGCAGAGGTTTGAGGTGGTTGGGTGAGCTGGGGAGGAGAGTGTGGTTTGGTGGGCATGGGTAAGAGGAAGGCGGTCATGGCATTGGGGTTGTAGCCGTGGGTTTGGGTGTTATTGATCAGTTTGTGACTCCGGCTGGAAGATACTGAGGGGAGGTGAAGGTGTGGAAGCGTTGAAACATGTCAAGCAGATTTATGAGCTATCAGGAAAATGGAAGGCACGGGCTCGCGATTCGAAGTGAAGTCTCCTTCTTGGATGTTCTCGAGCAAACAGCTTTCTTGTCACCACTGTCATCCACAGTGAACTAGGTGAAGAAAAGCTCACAATGCTAGTCGCAAGATTGCATGGCATGCATGTCAAGTCTAGATCGGCCCATTCGAGTCTTGCAGGTGTAAAGCGTTCATCAGCACGTCAGCTTAAAGTGTTCTATGCGAGTTGCCGATAGATTAGAAATTCCCCTGCAAAGGGCCAATCATGGACTCATAGGCAGGTAATTATCTTGAGTGAATCTGGTTACATGCAGGTACAGTACACTGGCACTGTGGTCGGTGATTGTGAGCCAATGAAAAATGCCCTTTATCAGCATTGATCACCCGGGATGGGCAGATCAACGGGGCCAACGACCTCCCATCCGAACCATGTGTCCGGGCGTCTAGAAAGTTTGATCATGATACTACAACCCACATTGCATGTCTGCTAAAAGAAGATACATGAACCGCTTGGACTCACCTCTGGCAGTCGAATAGCATCAGCCAACTTGCTGATAGAGCATGCGAGCAAGTCTCGAAGTCTTCTCCGGGCAGTGGCGAGAAGCAACGCCTTTCTTAGTACCAGACATTCACAAAAGAATGGAAGAGTTTAGCGAAGACCCTTCACAGGTCGACTTATACTCCCACCGAGGGAAAAAATTGGAGTTCTCCTCAAATCGCGCCGCAAAGTACCACGGTCCACGCACACCATTGAGTCAGGCAAACCAGGGGCCCTCAATACCCATTGGACATGTTTGATGACCCTTCAGATAGTGTACGATAGTGTACCTGAGCAGCCCAAGGACACAGCCGATGCCAATGGATCAGTCCAATGGGAGACCCCACCCCGGGTCCAAGTGTCAGGGCCCGCACGCAACAGGCATCAAAACAAATTCATTTCCTCGGCCCCCACGCACGATACCTAAACATGAAAAGGCACCACCGTCCAATCCACCGGCGAGGCTGATGCGACGACGACGAGGGGGGAATGAGCCAAGCATCGCAAAGTCGAATTGGCCGCAGTAGTTCAGGAGGTTCATGTGTGATGGATTGGCGGCGCAAAACTCTTCCTGCCGGAACAGGCATGATGTATCAGCGCTAGGACTGCTATCTGGAACCTCCCATTGGCCGGCTCGCTAATGACGTCACTGACACCTGAACCATACGCTTTGAGGACTAGCGGGGGATGCGATGGGGATGCTTGGCGCTGCGATATACTCCTGCACCGAGACCCAGAAATAGACATTTCGAGCTCGATGAGTGGAGGACAACATAAACAGAGATTTTAGCTGGAGAGGGGGCAGATGAGAATGGAGGTATATAAGCATGCGACGCTCGCGGATTTCGGAGGATTCATACCAGATCAAAGCATTCATTTTCTTTGCGCAGCATCCAGTCATTCGTTTGATTCGTCTTTACTATACACTCCTTTTGTTACTTGTCGATTGTTACTTGTGTGTGGTATCACTGAGCCTGTACACCTCTATTTACTTGAGTATATACTACACTTCCTTCATTTCTTCACAAAGTGAGTACACTCTCTCGCCGTCCGGGATAACTGCCTCCCTCACCTACATAGAACCATCACCCAGACTAACCACCACATCCCACCAGACTCATATACAAAGATTCACAATGATCGACAAATCTGCCATCATCGTCTTCGTCATCTTGGGTTGCGTAGTCTCAGTCCTCATCGGATACTCCATCCACTCCGTCGCCACCGGCGGGTTCCGCAACGACGAGCAGGAAAGAGATTTCTCCCACGAACAGAGATCCTACATGCGGGAGTTGCGCCTGCGCGACATCAACTGGATGGCACGCGACAATGGCCTGCGGTACAACCCGGAGCCGCCCCGCGATCTCGAGAAGCAATAATTCATAACGGTTGCTTAAAGCGTTTGGTGCATTTGTGGAGTTCATGATTTGGGGTTTTGCGTTTGGATTGGGTTCGGTAGATGTTGTTTTCGTCTGCTGTATTATATTTCTATTCTGTGATGAGTGTTTTGGACATGGATAACTTGGTATAATCTGTCAAACTGACATGTGGTATACTTTACCTTGAAGAATTGGTCGCTCGACTATTGTGACCGAGTTAAAATGAAACTACTTCTCAGTCAACGGTCCTTACCTGGCGGCGTTCATCCACCAAATATATTGAACAGTTCTTGAGATCAAGCTCCTGTAACCTGTCTGCCTAGTATATTCGGGTATCCGTCAACCCTGAGCAAGTGCTGCAGAGGTTTACCCCAGTGCACCGAAAAGTCTGCACGGCAACGGACAATGCCGCGATCTATATCTCCAGCATGCCCAGCGCGGAAGTTTTCATGCTCGCGGAATCTTGTGTACACCCCGCGGTACAAGTTGATGAAATAGGCGGACCACAGCTTCTCCTTGTCCTCTGCGGTGCTGGGGGAGGTGGAGAAAGCTCGGAAGATTGGGAACCCCCAAGTCCTTCCATTGTAACTCTGGAGAAACCTGGAGATATAGGTGAGGTAGTTCTCTTGATTGCGACGAAGAAGGACGGGAGGGAAGCTTGAATAGAAATCCGTGAGAGGAGGACTTTTCGGGATGGTGACGCGGTCGATGTCCTCCTGGGGGATGTTATACCAGGGGTGGAAGTGGTGTTGTTGGATCAGTGGGCCATGAGGACGGGGATTGAGGATGGGCTTCCTTGGGATTGTCAAGTGGGGGGCAGGCGCATTGTAGCAAGCTCCCTTTCTCTGGGTTACTGGGTACTTAAAAAGAGAAAGAACAGTAAAGATCATACGCGGGAGGAATTGGATTCGATATATAGTGTACTGTAGTTACCTAGGTAGTGCTCATATTTACCTGGATCTATGCATCGGGGCCGCTCTTGCCCTTTTAAGGCTAGCGCCATCCGCATCTGTGGGGCGAGCATGAGCGACCGACAGTGACGCTCCGACCCGTTGCAGTTCGCAACAAACCCACCCAACGCCAGGCCGAACCGCCTCAATCTCCGTCAACTCTCACCACTTTTCATTTTCACGCTTAACCTCAGCCTTTCCTGGTGAGAACTGGGCCACCACACGACAGCATGGCAGAATACTGGAAATCAGCAGTAAGCTTTTTCCCCCCCTCTCCCTGCCTTTCCACCTTGAAACTCAAACCAGGCAACCTACTAACTAATCTTTGCGAAGCCAAAATACTGGTGCAAGCAATGCAAGATCTTCATCCGCGACACCCCCTTCGAAAAAGCCCAGCACGAAGCCACGGGCAAACACCAAGGGAACCTCAAACGCTTCCTTCGCGACATCCACCGCAGCAACGAGCAGCAGCAGCGGGAGTCCCAGCGCGCCAAGAGCGAGGTCGAGCGGCTGCGGCAGACGGTCGCGGGGCTCAATGACCCCAGCAAAGGGGGCGATGCCGCCGGGGCACCGTGGCGGCAACGAGAGACCCCCAAACACCAGGAGCGGCCGGTGTCGACGGAGGAGCGGAAACGGCAGATGGCGCAGTTGGCGGAGATGGGGGTGGCGATCCCGGACGAGTTCCGCGGGGAGATGGCCCTAGCGGGGACGTGGCAGACTGTTTCGGAGAAGGTGATCAATGGTGGTGGGGAAGAGGGGGGTTCGAAGGCCGGGAGGTCGGTGGGAGTGCGGAAGCGTAAGTTGGAGGGAGATGGTGTCGGTGATGCTGATGTCGATGAGGAGGAGGCGGAGGCGAAGAGGGAGGCGGAGAGGTTTGTCTCGAAGGGGTGGGGGTCGTCGGTTAGGAGGTATCCTGGGGCGAAGGAGGAGGACACGGATCTGGATGCGCTGCTGGCGTCGACGAGAGAGATTAAGAGGGTCAAGCCTTCGGAGGTCAAGGTGGAAGCGGACGTGGATGCGAATCCGAAAACTGAGAAGGATGCACAGCCCGAGGAGAAGGAATCAACGAAAGGCCACTTCGTACCGGTCAAGCCGAAGGGAGAGGTCCAGCTTGCAGAGTCGGATGAAGCACCTACTGTCAAGGAGGAGCAGGCAGGGGGTGATGCATCGTTGGAAACTCTACAGAAAACCGAGGCTGAAGAGCCAGCTGCTGGAGTTGTGTTCAAGAAACGCAAACCGAAGGTCATGAGGAAATGAAAGCACCGCTGAATCATGCGATGGAACAGTTCAAAGGGCTGAGACGCCCTTGCTGAGGAAAACCGACGCCTGATCTACGATGCAATACGCATGCTGTCACTGGACGTTACATCCAGAAGTACACCAGATGCATGGGATGTCTCAGGCGTAAATGGCTTTAGGAGGGGCTCACTACAAGGGACTCATACATGGTCACTGAAACAAAACCTCCACATTTATATGGATGCCACACAGCAGAATAGTGCCAATGTGGTTCGTCTTGGAGGTTCACCCATGAGCCTCGGGAGTTTCACTTGGCAGGCAATTGGAGCTCGGCGGGAACACCAACACTCCGACTGAACACTCAGATAACTGCAGATCTAGCTAGCCTTGGCGGGCAACTGAAACCGCATCACCAGAGCCGCACCGCACCTGTAGATATTACTTTTTCCTGTTATCAATCAAGCCAAAGCCTCGAAAATAGCTTGATGGGTTTGAACAGTTGACTTGAATTTGGTGGTGCTCAGATAATGAATGGCGCGCTAGAAATTACCGAAATGAATAGACTCAACTAGGATACTGTAACAGTTCCAAAAACACAAACATCAGAAACCAAGTAGAAAGATGAAAAACCCATTGCATTGTGTTGTTGTACCTTGTCCGTTGTTGAATATGGATTCAAGTCTGGTTGCCACTGACTGACCACCGACCGTTGGACCCTTCCCTTTTTTTTGCATCGAATTTTTCTGCCCGTATTAATTTTCCCCGTCGGCGCAGACCAAACCAAGAGTCCGGGGACTGACTCTCTCACTCACTCACTTCCACTTCTCTTTCTCCCTCTCTCTCTCACCCTCACTATTCTTTCGCGGCCCCGAAGCTCTCTCTCTCTGCCTCGCTCGTTTATCTGCGCAACAGCCTTTTCCTGTCGCATTCCCATTCTCCCCCTCCCACCCCCAAATGCGGAGATTATTTGGTGCCGCATTGCGTGTTTTGGTGCTATAGTCATTCGGCTCGCTTCTTTTCGCTTATCTGGCCCAGTGCATGGTGAGTAAACGAGAGCTTCTTCCCATTTGCTTGTCCCGATCCCTCCCCTCTGGCAACCCCCCCGACACGCGCTCGACCTTTGTCTGCCTCGGTCATTGTGACTTGTCGACTCTCCGTTTTGTTTCTTCGACCGGGTTATTTATTACCGGATTCGCATGGCATCTCGATCTCCGCCAGTTCACCATGTACAATTCTTCCGCCGTGGCAGTGCCGTCCTGGGGTAGAATTCGGGGAGGCTCTAGACGGTCGCATCCAGCGTTGCCCGGTCTGACAAGGCTGCACTGCCTCTTGGGACATAAGATGAAAGAGCTTGGACTTTTGGACGGGGCTTGATCAGGTTAGGGAACGATAGCCAACACATCGTGGATCGTACCAGCACCCTCCGTATGCGGACAATTTTCGAGGGAATCGCGTCGGAACTCGACACCCCGACAAATGCGCGAGCCAAAAGAACCGACCAGTCTTGACACCAACTGTTCGATACGAACAACCATGATGTCCCGGGGTTGCCAGAGTGTCGTTGGGTCGCGTTAATCGGAATCAGCCCACTAACATGCATTGCCTTTTGAGTTAGAGAATCAGCACCCATCGGCTCCGCATTCCCTGCAAAGTCTTTGCTAGCGGTAAAAGTCACCCGTGGCTGACCTCGACCCGTCCGACACACCGGAAAGCCTCTCCAAGGCTCGAATCCATTTTTTCTTATTGTACGCAGGGGTGACAGAGGTGTCGAACCTTTATTGAGATGGCAGAACCAGCAGATTCGACGAATCCAGCAGAGGAGGCGCCCAAGCCGGCTCCCGAGCCGGCTGAAATGCCTGCTGCTGAGCAGCCCTCTGCTCAGTTGCCTCCTGCTGAAGTACTTCCTGCTGAAGTGCCTCCTGCTGAAGTGCCTCCTGCTCAAATGCCTCCCGCTGAGCAGCCACCTAATGAGCAACCTGCCTCTCAAGAGCCTCCTCACCAGCAACCCCCTCAGCAACAGCCTTTCCCTCAGCAGCCTCCCCATCAGCAGCCTCCCTATCAGCATGCCCCCCATCAGGAGTCTCCTCTTCAGCAACCTCCTCCTCTCCAGCAGCCTCCTGCCGAACAGCCTCCTCTTGAGTTGCCCCCGGTTCACTTGCCATCGGCTGAGCAGCACAACAGCGAGCCAGTAGACCACGCGCTTCCTCATATCGACACTTCACTCCCTCCGATTGATACGACTCTGCCCGCGATGGAGGAACACGAACGTCTCAGTCATGAACTGCCCCCGATCGATACAACGATACCGTCGCTTCCTCCAATTGATACCTCTTTACCGCCGCTTGACACTACGCTTCCAGCTACGGACGGGCTACACACCGAGGAACCCGATTTCTCGTTCCCGGAATTGAAACAAAGTGACACCGATGGCCATGGGGCGGACCATTCGCACCCACCAGGAACGAACGGGTTTGACTTTCCCGATCACACGCCCCATTCCTCGACCCCCGCCCCCTCCTATCATGCTCCGGTGAACGACACGCATTCGCAGCAGCCGGCTCAGCAGGAGCATTCTCATTTGTCCCACCACACACATCAACATCAGCAGTCCCCACACCCAGGTCAACCGTCGCAACCTCAGAACCACTACGAGCATCAATACTCCCACAACCAACATCATCCGCAGCAGCAGCACACGCCATCGCAGCATGGATCGCCAACCCAACATCAGCAAGGCCTGGGGCAGTCGACACCGACACAACCGCACCAGCAACAGCAACAGTATCAGCAGCACCAGAGCTCGGACATGTATCACAGTCACCAGTCCATGAGTGCCCCGTCGATGCAGACCATGGATCATCATTCGATGCAGGGACAGCACTCCCAAATGCCCCAGGCCCCCATTGGTTCGCCTATGCCCTCAAACATGCCTCCGATGACCTCTGTTGGCCAGTACATGACGGGATACCCTACCAACGTTGGTCATATGGGGATGAATGCCAATTCCCAGATGCGTTACCAGCTTTCGGGTGACGCCAATAAGATGTTGTCGGGCGGGAGACATAAGAAAGAGGTTAAGCGTCGGACGAAAACAGGGTGCTTAACATGTCGTAAGCGACGGATTAAGGTATGTGCAAAAGCAGCATGTGATTTTTTTGTCGATAATGTGTGCTCTGTTGTAATGTTGGTGATGTGGTGAGGAAGAGGAGGGGGGTGAAACTGAACTGCAAGGAGGGTGGGTGGGCGGGCAATGGCAGGCGGTCGCAACAGGCGAGTGTTCGCTTGCGCCGCCGCAAATGTTTGTTCGGCTCGCCGAACCCCGCCTGTCGCTTGTTGTTGTTCTCGCCCACTCACCAGTGTTGCTGCTTTCCTCCCCGCCTAACTATTCACGCTCACATTTATTTTTTTGATACCCGGAGTGGTCACTTCATTGTGTCGCTCTATATCCCTTTGTTTACTCTTTTGACCTCTCCTCTGTGGATTTTGGTTTGTACCCTTGATCGATATCCCCGCTAACTGCTTAATGCACACTAGTGTGACGAGGGTCATCCTGTCTGTCGGAACTGTGTCAAAAGTAAACGGGAATGTCTAGGTTACGACCCAGTATTTAAACAACAACCAACGCCTTCTGCTATTCAGCCCGCCCCGAATCCGCATCCTTCTTTGGTGGTAAATCCCCAGGATCCTTCCACCTCTTATCCTCAAGCTCCTCCGGGCTACGTACCTGCCGCGTCGCAACCGTTTGCTCCTTCTGAATCGCCCAGCACGTCAACCGACCGCTACGATAGCTACGGAGCGCCCGTTGATCACTCTGCCGACGTGAACAATCAGCAGAACATGGCCAGCATACAGCATGCCGTTGAAGGAGGCCTGCAGCCGACGGTCAACCCTGCAGCAACCAATGCTACCGGCACCCCGTCGGAAGCTACCAGTTTCAGAGGTATACTCCACTACCTACAATGGTGTTGTAAGCATGCTAACTCAGCCCGCAGTGAAACAAGTGCAGATCAGCGACCTTCTTGCCCTGCGAGGAATCCCCCCTCCCCCTCCGCACCCCATCACATCACTGCCGCCTAATCGGCTCGAGGAAATCCAAGCCGTGTTCCTCGCAACGTATGCTCCGGCCATAGACAAGTTCTTCGAAACCAGGTGGTTCCAGGATAAAGCGTTGCCCCATCTGCTGGCAAATGCACAGCTCATGGCGGAGTACTCCGCCTTGATTGATGCCTTCAACGACCCCAATCTCAACGACCCGAACGTGGTTGCCCGGTTGGAGAGTTTCGAAGCGTCAGTGGTGTGGAGCTCGATGACTTTGTGCCGTCATGTGATGAACGTGTCCGGGGGAGCCCAGCCTGAGTACGATCTGCTAGCGTCGGCGAAGAGACTGGACGTGATTGAGGCGATGATCACGGGCGAGCATCTGGACTCGAACCCTCTGAGCCAGTTCCCTACCCGGGAGCCGGCTGCCAATCCCCCCTCGCTGCCGGATCAGTTGACACAACGGTCGTTGGACTTCTGGAGCGCCGTCGGATACTTTCTCACGCTACACGACAACGAAGCCAGCTCGGCTAAGGAGATCGACGATACCCTGGCCCGCTGCCGGACATTGTTGGACACGTACGAGAACCGGGATGTGATCTACTCGATCGCTATTGCACGCCACCTGGGACAACGGTGGGCGGACTTTCCCCGCAGCTTCCCGCAACCGATCACAACGAACGAGAAGGATGCGGGAGCCAAGCTGTATGTCGCACAGAAGTTCCTCGAACAGGAAGCCGGCGGCAAGGGCACAACACAAGTGATCAAGCGCATCTGCGGCATGGTTGTTCGATCCTGGATTGTTTCCCGCGAGTGACCGGCGGGGTGATTCATTCTTTCTGATGCGAGCAATTTGCGATCTGTCATATGAAAAGCGCGTCGGTACGCTACGTACCGATTCACCATGTTCTTCTAGATTTTCTGCCTGGCCATCGAGGGGTTTCCCGCCGACAGTAAGCGCGGGTGGATGGATCTCAGATTTGCCAAGCGTGTTTGACATGGGTAGAGAAGTCACAATTGGGCTCGGAGTTACACACTTGGGATTGGGGGTTTTTTTTTTCTTTCTTTTCTTGGTAGCAGAAGGACGGGCAGTTCACGGCGTTTACGGCTGCATTACCTGAACAGGTGTCATAATTGCTTCGTGCTGTTGCTTTTGTCGGTGGAGAGAGGACTGTATGGTTCGGCGCTAGTGTCTAGACACTTCGTCTGAAGACAATGAAATAATGAGACCATTGTACATACACGGAAAAAAAGCAGTCCTTTCCTTAACCCTCTATTGACGTGTCTATCGTGTATATACAATCTTGCAGCTTATCGTTTAAAGGTCTGCCTGCTCGGGGACGGGACTCTTCAACTTGCCCGTCTCCAAGGCGGAGCGAATATTCCCGATCGTCCATTCCTCCATTGCCGTTTGTGTCTGCAATCATTAACCGTGTTAGCCACTTTACTCTCAGACCATCTTCCTGCACCGCCCCGAAAAAGGACGGGATAAACTCACCTCGACCGTCCAAGTCCCCATATGCGGCACCAGCACACAGTTGGGATTCCGCACCAAACCGGGGTGCACCGCCGGCTCCTCCTCGAAGACATCCAAGCCGGCGGAGAACACCTTGCCCGAATCCAACGCCTGCACCAGCGCCTCCTCATCCATGACCGCGCCGCGCGCCGTGTTGACCACGACCACCCCATCCTTCATCTTGGCGAACTCCGCATGGCTGATAATATGCCTCGTCTTCGGGTTGAGGGGCAGGTTCAACGACAGCACATCACTCTGGGCGAGCAGCTCATCAAAGCTCACGTACTCCGCCCCGTCGGCCTGCTGCGGCGCCAGCGCGCGCCGGTTGTGGTAGATGACGCGCATCCCGAACGCCTCGGCCTTCCGCTTCAGGTTCCGCCCGATCCCGCCCATCCCTAGGATGCCCAGCGTCTTGCCCTGCGGGTCGTGGCCCAGTGCCGGCAGCGTGCTGCCGGGTTTGCCTCGGAAGTCCCCAGTGCGCAGGTTCTGCATGCCCGCGTTGAAGTTGCGCAGCGCGCCCAGGATCAGGAACATGTTGACGTCCGCGGTGGCGTTGTCGGGTGCTGTGGGGACGTTGGAGACGCGGATGGGTTGCGGGGCGCGGGTGGTGCAGGCTGGGATGGAGATTTGGTCATAGCCCGCTCCTGGTTTTGTTGTTAGTGTTGGGCGGGTTGGGGAGGGGGTGATGTTGGGGAGGGTTAAGGTGGTGGTGCAGGGACAACGGGGCTGGGGGGCTGAGGCGCAAGCACGCACCGCAATGAGCAATCCACACCAACGACGAAGGCAGCACGTCAATGATCTCCTGGTCGAAGAGGCCGGTGATATTGATGGACCCCAGCGTGCGGTAGGCCGCGACGACGCCGTCGTATTTGCCGGCCTTGCATTCTTGGATGAACTCCGCGCGGTTAGTGGCGGTTGTTTCGAGGAGGTCGGCGATGTCGCTGAGGCCGGTCCAGGTGGCGTATGCGCTGGGATGGGGGTTAGTGGTGGTGGTCAATTGGTTCGTTGATACAAGAAAGGGGAGGGGAACGCACTGGTCGATCTTTCCGATCAGCAGGACCTTGGGTTTGGGGTCGGTTGAGCCCATTGTTGCGGTGTTGTGCGGGGTGGGTGTCTATGAGCTGGTGACCTGGTGTGTTGGTTGAGCTATGATTTCAGGTAGTGAGGGGTAAAACCACACCTTGAGAATTGCTAAATCAGCTGGTAAGAAAGTGGGGTAGGCAGGAGATTTATAGATGGCCGGCACTGGCAGGGGGAAACGACACTGGCACGGAATGCAATACCCCGAACGGAAAAGAGTTTCGGATGTAGACCGTGCAGAAGATTGATAGCACTGGCGGGACTGACGGACTGACGGACTGACAAAAACAGTGCAAGTGATAGGGAAATCGGATAACGCGACCTGTGAAAGTCGACCCCACGTGCCCCGCGCGCCCTTTGCACTTATTGCTCGGCTTCCTTTCCGAGTGGTTCCTGCCCTTGATTGGTGGAAGATTGGTCTAGATAGGGCGTATGCTGCTCTCGGCCGACTCGCTTATTTGGTTTTGTATATACTAGAGTTACTGTCTGGGTGGTGGCTAGGAGTACTGTATTCACTGCTGGTTTTGGTGAATAGATCCTGTAATGTCTTGGTGGGGTTGTTGATTGATGACGTGAATTGTTGCGAGATGGGGTATTCACCAGGCAAGAAGTGCCTTTTCATTGAAGAAGGATGGGCTACACGGCTGGATCTTAAATACTTAAGCTCCTCCAGCTTCTTCTTTCTCTTTCTCTTCTTCCTCTTCCTCTTCCACTTCCTCTTCTATCTCCAACGGCCTTACATTTGAGTCTGTACTTATTTTTACACTCTTCATCTCCCTGAGTTCATCTCCCACTTTCCGTCATCCAGAGCCAACATGGTGAATTCTCAGGCCTGCGCTTGAAATACTTGGAACGCTTTCTCATGTTTTCCTGTCCTTCAAAGACACACACTTTAATAGACAGATCAAGAGTACCCCTTATCATTCTCTCTTCATTTTCTTGAAACTCAATCATATACTTACAACCAGGCAGCTAGAACGTGATTCCTCCCCCCCGGGCGATCCAAGACACAATCTCCAGCTGAGTACGACTTCAGCATGCTTGTTGTTCCTAGAACACTTCTGAGACAGTAGGGTTCTCAAAGCATTGATCTCCGAGTCAAACCCTCAGTCGTTGAATTAGACTTGCTTAACATCACTGGGTAGCCATACTTCAGCCATAGAAAAGAAAGACACAATCCTTTGTGTCAATCCAGCAGCAGCAGCATTTCTGGGCCCTGTGCCCCCTCAAAACATAGATTGTTGAGCTTCACATACAGGCCCAGAGCAAGGAGAACGAGACGGTTCCGAGGGCGGCGTTGTCGATGATGCTCTTATCGTGAGAGCTAAGGAGAGCTATCGTCTGGATGTCATGGAAGTCCTGATGCTGACTGCCAAGACCCGGCCAACGCGAGACTCAGACCACCCGATCGATTGCGAGTACGACCAGACGGAGTCGACCGCCCATCGTGAGGCGAAATTGCTCCAGAAATGCGGAGTTATACTCCCCCCCGAGCGTTCGTGTTTGGAAGCCCTGACCCGCCTGCGTGGGCAAGTCGGTCATGGCAGCGAATATCGCCGCTATGAAAAGTCCCGGCGAAAGCTCTTGCAGAGAATGATGCGCAAAACTGGGATTGTGGTAACCACTCTACGGAATTTGCCCGAGATGTTGCTGCCAGAGCTTTTCCCTAGATATCTTATCGACGGGGCGACTTTCTATCACGATCCGGAATCGTTTTCTGCCTTAAAGAAACTTCCCCAAGTCATGAGTATTCTTCTCATCGGCGACTATAACCAGCAGTCCCTAATTTGTTTCACACCTCAGGGTCGCGAAGCATGACTCAACTCGGCTGTCGAAAGGCTCATAAAGAACGACCAACGGACATGTATACTAGACATAGAGCACAGAAATCAAACACATACCTAAAAGGCGACGTCGAAGGTCTTTTACAAAGGAACAGGAGAGAGCTTCAATCTCAGCGGAGATGGGGCGGGAATCTCACGGCTTCTCTATTACCGTACAGCTGTAGAGGGACAGGACGTACTAGCCCCTTCCAAGGGAGAAAAAGAATACAAACTTGGAAGCTCTTCGGTCGGATGAGCAGCAAGCTATGGAGAGAAGCGTGACTGCTCCGCAGATCTTACCCAGCAGCCAGATTGCAGCTGTCGAACAGCCAGGAAAGAGATGGAGGTATGGCGCAGCCTGATGAACATCTCATATTCACAACCTCATTTAATCGGTAACAACAAGCTGACTCTTTATAGTTGCTTGACAGCTTCGCATCAGACCTTTTCTCCTCGTCGACATACTTAGATTGGCGTCAGTCAATCGTTTTGAACGAAAGTCTATCTGCGAGCTTCCTAAGCCCATCTACACTTCCATAAGCTTGATTCATATCACCAGGATATGAAGTCAAGACCATTTCAAAGCGAAGCATAACCCCCAGACTACTTACTTGGAAACCTGACATGTAAGACATCCCGACATTCGACCAGCCCGATTCGCAAACAATCACTCAGACTAAGCGGGTGGATTTCCTCCGACGGCTAATGGACGAGTAGAACGGGACTGCCGCATGATGTGGTCGACTTCTCGCATTGATGGCTTCTTCGATACACACTCAATTGTCTTCATCCACCCTGTGTTCTTACTGTAAGGAACCAAAATTGCCGACATTCTAAACAACTCGGACCAAGGAGCAGGCGCGACAGCTGCCCCGACCTTTAACATGTGTGGTGGGCCGCGGTCTGCCACAAGAAGACCATCCGGCAATCCAGGTCCTCGCCAGCATAGTGATGCAGGTTATTGAAAGGCACTTTGGGATGGAGAGGTTTGCGCACATGTAAAGGGGGATAGCCCATCATCTTCCTGCTGAGATTTTGTTTCTGTCGGTGCAAAACAGGACGTCAGGAAAGATCCTACGAGCGCACCTGAGAGGTGACAAGTGATGCAAAGACTGTTTCAACCACAAAGTTGGAGAGACCTAAGGGCCTTACAAGTGAGATGACACTTCGAAGGACTGCAAGGATCTGGATAAGGGCAAATGGACTGCTGAACTTTGGAGATAACCCCTTACAGACACTGAGTGGTACGATGAGGGCTTCCCGGCCTCATCCAGCTTCTCTGATATTTGACTTGGATTGCTAGCAATCGTCCAAAAGTGCTGCTAAATGCTGCTCACCGGTACGGAAAGGACTCAACCACGCCCGCGGCCACCTAGGGCACAAAGAGGGGTGCTACTGGGTGAAATAGCTGATTGAAGACGTATACCAAGCTTGGGGAGATTGACTGCAAGTAACTCCAGTGCGCATTCTCTTTAATCGGAGCTAGCAAGAAGCTCGGGGCTACGTTCTTGGGGGGGGACGTGCTGTACGTCGCCCGCACAAAAATCTATGAAGGAGGTATCGCTTCCAGACGCCGGGAACAGGTGTCATCGGAAAGACAACTTTCTATCAGATGCGCTGGGCTCTCTTCTTTCTCCCACTTCTGACCACCACGTTCCTTTCTTCTCTCACGTTCAATCTCGCCAGCTTTACTGATTGGTACGTCATCTTTCTGGATGCCCCTGCTGTCGGCTGACTTGACTTCCTGGACCGCAGTACATAATTTTCCTTCCACAGCCGGATTGCTGATGACAAGGAATAATCGTCACGGACGTTCTCTGGTCGTGTCATTTTCTGTGTGTCGCCTGGGATGAGAGTGTGCTGAATCTAGCCCCATGTGAGGTCATCAAAGAATAATCATCATCACTTTTCTCATGAATTTTTTCTCTTATCTGTTTCATGTCTTTCTCAGCTCTGTTTACTATTTAACTTGCTGAATTTGTTGTCTGATCATACAACGTGAGGCCTTCAATCTCAACCAGCCGCGAATGTCTTCAATTAATCGATATGATCTGAAGTATTCAAGGGTTTGATATTATTTTGAAGGGATGTTGGCAGATATCAAGTAACATAGATAAGGGAGATCCTATGAGACCGTACATACTGTACCTAACAAATATGATCCGAGCTGACATGTCATTCACAGAGGTAATATGGTCCTTTCCGCCTGCGCAAGGAATACCCTCCACAATGGGATATTGTGCGGAATACGCTTTGTACTTTCCACTTCATCACTGAAATGCCAAATATCTTGGACGGTTTGCCAGAGAAGCTCAATGTTTCCAATATTGTAATCCAGCATGTGACTCCACCAGCGACACCAAATCTTTCGGCTGTTCGGCGATGACTCGCAAGCCGCGATGAACCCAGGCCACATTATTGAGGCAGTTCGTTGGCCCGACAATAATCTACTTTCGTACTTCAGTTTCTCAATCTGCAGCAAGCTGGCTGCTACCTGATCCACATGAAATTGCACATCTTCACTGGCTGGAAGAATGCTCTCGCAAGAGGTTTGGGGCAGATGAGTGAGAAGGTATATCTGAATCGCATGGTGAAAGGCGCAGAGATGTAAATCCCTGACTTGCTTCATGAGGCCCCCTTCTGATTTCTCATCGAATGACAAGAGATCCTGTTCCATTGTCACGTCCCAAGCTCTCACATGTTTCCTTATTGTACTTATGACACCCACAAGCTCTGCAGGTAAAGCTTGAGATTGGTTTTCGTAGTAGAGGCGGTGCCAAAACAGAATCGTTATTGAGCGGACCCCAACTACTAACCGGTGAGTGATACCATAGGTATGCTGTAACACGTGGTCATCAATTGCACAGTTCAGATTAGACGTCTCTGTGAACTCTTTTGAATAGCCGCTGTCATTGGATGGCCACGGTATTCCCGTCTGAGTGTTTAACGTTGTGTCTGATAAAGTCGATTGTAGGTAGAAAGCAGTTTGGAGGAACAGTCTGAGTCTTGATGTGGGATGTACATTATTTGCTGCCGTGCTCATGTAATTCATTTGTTTGAAGGCTTCAAGGTGAAGAGGATATTCTGACATACTACCTTCCATTACCTAGCGAGAACAGAGAATAATTAGGCCACGGTGGGTATCAACGAGTCAGCGGGATAGTAGAATCATACATCGATAGTGACGAATGAAAGGATCGCCGATGCGGTGGCAAGCCATTGCATTTCGCCTTTCCAGCCCACTCCAACCGCTGCGCGGAGGAAGCGATATGCCATCATACGATATTCTTGAGCAGCTTCGGCCATTTCTCGCATTTGTGTAGCTGACCCCTTTACCATGCCTTTTACATGGAATGCGGCAGTGGCGAGCAATGAGTAATATGTTGCACGATGACCCAGTAACCCGATCTCACTTGCACATGGATTATCCCGGCCCACGATCGCCTGGGAGGCATAAACGGAGGCGTAAAAGTTTCGAGAATGCGGGATCGGCTGTAGCATGTGGGCAACGTTAGATATATAGTGACTGAACAATCGACCAGAGAGCTGTTCTCGGTGGCTCAAAGAATTTCTTGCTACCCTCCGTGACAGATCACCTGTACTGGGGATTAAACTGAGAGACGGCGACGTGGACTCTCTCCGTCCAGGTTTGAGGTCATTGGCAATATCTAGCATGCGACAAGGAAAGACCGAAAATGGCCCTTCTTGGAAAGACATGCCTGCTGCATCGACTCGAGCTAATATTTCATCCACCTCCTCTGCAGGGAAATTCCAGGACGGGAAGCCTGTACGGTCAACAGCGGGGAAAAAGATACCATAGACAAGTTTCACTCACAGACAAACATTGCTTTGCGCTTGATCGCCGACGGATTGATCCGAGAATCATCTATCCAATATAACAAGGGAGCATACCCATCGCAAACAAACTTTCCCCTCCGACATCTGGAGCAAACTGGTTTCGCGAGGTCACATTTTACCTTTCGTCGGCGGCATGTCCAACACCTGGCAAGATTAGCAGCTGTTCAACATCTCGCGGCTTCCCACACGCACCCTTCAAAGGTCTTGGTCTTAGCAATGCGGGTTCTGTCGCGTTTGGGCATGTGGAAATGTTGAGGTGGCCCAGTGTGGAGGGAAGGGAGTTTATGAACTAGGGGTCGTTATCTCCACGGCGTATTTGATTCGCTTATCTACTTCCCTGGAATCAATTCTTACGTCAAAAGGACACTCTCTTGCAGGGTCCATATCTAAAAAACGATTGGGTATTTTCCATTATCTCATTTCCACCATAGATAAGGGTCCCTTCCAGGCCAAGGGTATCCACGAGCGTATTGAATTTATGCATGGTTCAAAAGTGTATGAACTGCAGTATGTATGGATGATCTAAACATGGGCTTGCCTAAGAGAATATTTCTCATAACTTGCAGTCGTCCAAGCACGTAGCTTCTTGCCCCAAATGATGAAGACTGCAATAAATGACAGGACAAATGTGGCGATGCATGCCATCGACAGAATGACGTTCTGAATACCGACTGCGGAACCCCACGGACTAAGAGAGAAGATAAAAACGGTACTGACACTATTGCGAATGAAAGTGACCCCGACGAGTGCATCTCCAACAATCTGGTTTTGTTAGAGAATTCGATTTGGAAATTTGGAATGGGCAAAATACAAAGAAAATAAAAGAGATGACTCACATCGGTGTAGGAATCAGTAATGTAAGTCAAGACCACTGTGTTGATCGAAGCAATGCCAGCACTTGCTAGGGCTATTCCCACGGCTACAATGGGCCAGGCGAGTCCTCTTTCGATTCCGTATCCAAACATGAGCGCACCAGCAAGGATTAGAGGAAGAAACGGAACGATCACCCATAAGCGAAATTCGGGCTCGTAAATACCGCGGTTGCGGTGTGAGAGACGAAGAATCCACGCGTCACTCATGCCCCCTACAACTAAGGAGGCAAGTGTGACTCCCACGAACTGAGGTAGGTTCATGAGTCCAATCGCACTCGCCGAGAAGTTGTAGGGAGGCTGGGTCATCCGACTAGACATCGTCGTACTGATGGAATTTTGCAGTGCAACCATGACACCATACGTTAGGGCCACAAAAGTCACACCTGGAAATGTGCCCATGATAATAAATGGCTGGTAGACATGCCGGGCGAAAATCTTCCAATCACCCGGACTGGAAGTAAACAATGTTAGGCGTTGCCAGTAGGGCTTGAGGGGGATATTTGGATTGATCGTTGGTGGAGTGTCTAGCTTCAGGTGTGTCTGGTCGGGGTTCATCGTTTGGGTAGCCAAAATGAGGTTATTTTCGTCAAACTTCCTGCTGTTGGGGGGACGTTGCTCGTCACCCACGACAACCTCGTCGATAACTGTAACAAATTTGGATTCTTCGTAGAAAAACCCAAGGAGAACAAGACAAGCACCGAAGAGGATGGCATTCCACCACCAGACCCATCTCCATCCCTGGGAAACAGTAATATACCCAGCAGCAAGTGGGCCCAAGGAGCCACCGACTTGAACGGTCCAGATAAAGATGGCATTCATCAGGCCTCGTTGGTGCACGTAGAAAATATCAGCGATCGTCATTTGAACGATGACCTCCGATAGTGCACCGAAGAAGCACGATAGGACATTGACCATCATGAGCTCAACAGTTTTATGCATTTTCGCGCTCCATATGCTCACAGCAAAGGTGACAAGAGCGCTCAAGATATACAGCGATCGGCGCCCGAACTTGAGCGCGAGTGGTGTCAAGAACACTGCTCCAATGGCCATAGTCCCGCAGCCAGCCGCATAAGAGTCATTCAAAATAGCCCAGCTGAACCCGAGCTCCACGTGCATTGGACTCCAGGTTGGAGTTGCAGCGCAGAGAAACTCATTAATGAGCAGCGCCCACAAGCAAGTCAAGCCGAAATTCAGGTATTTGCGATATGAAGCCCAATTGAGGGGATCATTGGGATCGCTGCTCGGTCGCGGCTGCAATATGATTTCGTCATGATTCGTGTAGAGTTCTTGCAACCAGACGGTACCTGGGGGCCAAGAATCTTGGTCGTGATCGGGATCTTGCGTGGATGGACCTTCCATAGCAACGTGGTTTGAAAATCGATTCTAGTAGTGAATATTATGAAAAGTTCTGGCCTTGAGCCATCCCACTTATATTCTCCCGGAACATGGTGCTTAATGGATGTATGCGTAGTCGACTCGAGTTTGGGCGAGATAGCAGTTGAGCCCATAGACCAGATAAAGCTACTCGCTAATGATATACATCGATAAGGAAACCTCCAAACGATGGATGAGATTTCTATCCACGGCAGCTCTCAGCGAGGTCTTGGGACGAAACAAAATACCAAGCACAGTTCTTTTGAAAATCCGAGCATCGTGAAGGGTCGATTGGGTAGAAAGCACGAAAGTGGCGTGTATTCGACGCTAAGGTATCTCCAATATCAGCTGTGTCAGCGGAGATAAGTTAGTGAAGAGGATCAGAGATGGTGTCTTGGCAGCTCGCTGAGCATTTCCAAATGTCAAAAGATAAGCTATCGGTCCCCGGGTTGACTGATTCTGTGGAATGGAAGTTGTCAGCGAGCCTCTTCGAGGTTGGCGTTGTATTTAAGATTTGTTGACGCTCGTGCAAATCATACCACGAACAGCATTCCATTGTAACAAGAGGAGCATCTTATCTTGACCATTTTCACCATGGTTCTTCAAGTGATCCCCATTACCCCCCCAGTTGGTTCCAATGCCAAGGTAACGTGGTTTGTGAGTATAGATTCGTGATATCTCACTAATGCAAAGCAGATGGGAGCGACCATTACTGGGGTTGATATGAACAACTTGACAGACGTTGAGTTTCGTCTCATTCGTGAAGCCATTTACACTCACCAGGTGGTGATCGTCAAGGGTCAAGAGAAACTCAAACCGATCAACCAGTTCGAGTTCGTCCGTCGACTTGACCCGGAAGCTAACCCTGTCCATGGCTTTTTGACCGATGATGTCACGGAGGATACCACTGGTGTTCTTGGTGTCTGTCTGCGCTTTTCCTTAACCTTACATACGTTAAACGCTGACCTTGTTTAGGGGAAATTTAATGTTGTGCGTGGTTCAAAAGGTGTTACTTTGGTAGGCCAGGGGTATATCTCACACAACAAACATGGAGGTGATGGCCTGACACTGCAGTCGGGCACTCATGCCGATTTGCATGTTGAGACACTATCTGCTGAGGAATTGGCAAGCGGGCAGTCTAGATTTGGTGCTTTCCATTTTGATGGTGTTATTTATGGATCTTATCCATCGCGCGTCACGACTCTACGCTGCGTCCAGGCTCCCAAAGGACCCGACGTGACGATCCGCTGGGACGACGGGACTGGTCGGACAATGACCGCAAAGCCCGGGCTGACGGCATTTATCAATGGGTCGCAACTATATGAGATGCTCACGCCCGAAGAGAAGGCGTTGGCTGATAACAGCAGCTGGTCACCAGCACCCCAGCCATATGTCTGGACAGGCACTCGAAAGATCCGAAACTGCGGTCTTGGAATGGCCCCTGGAGGAAAGACTGTCCCACTAGACCAACTACCAGCCTGGACGTCGGACAAGGTGTACCGACTTCCGATGGTGTGGGTCAACCCAGTGACAGGCGCGAAGTGCTTCCAGATTCTGCCCGATGTGGTTGAAAAGTTGTATGTCAAGTCGAAACCTGGTGCTGAGGAGCGCACGGTTGAAGACAGCGACGAGATTCGCCTTTGGCTCAATGACATTCTCGACAGAATTTGCACACCAGAGAATATTTTGATTCCGGAGTATGAGGAAGATGACGTCGTGATGTTTAACAATTGGGTACGAACGTCAATATCTCTTTTGGTACAGGGCTGACAGCGGATCGACAACAGGGAGTTCTTCATAGCTCTATTGACTTCCCTAAGAGCTATGGCACCAGAATTAGTGAGTCTCAACCCATGTTCTCCATACTAAAATCATGGATTAACCCAAAGCAGTGCATCAATGTCATATCGCCTCTTCGACTGTTCCAGTCGGCCCCACCGCTGTCGTTTGAAGTGACTGCATTGATCTTGAGCAGTGCATCAAACCGGCTTAGGATTGAGATCGAATCAATGTCCTACTTTGATACAGGCGACGCAAAGAGCAGCGCCAGGCGTAAATAAAAGGGAAAGTAGTCAATGGCCATGATGGTGGCCGAAGAGACTGTTAACAGTCTACTATATATTCAAGTATCATATATAAAAGACTACCTACAATATAAATCAAGTTCTGACTCTAAAAATTTCTGCTGAAGAAATAAAGAAATAACTTTTTAATGTTTTTCATAAAAGATTTGGTTTACAGGAGCTGTGTAGTTTTTCTTTTAAAAACTTTAGATACTTAATTCACTCTTAATTATATATTTTATAATTTAAATAGTTAAATGACAGAGGCAATACCTATGGTAGATTTGCCCTATTGATTAAGAAAATAATACAGCCTTAAAAGGTATAAGGGTTGAAGGATGAAATAGTGTAGTGAACGAATGTCCTTCGCGATAGCCAAGGTGGTTGTATTATGCCTTAAGGTGTTGTTGCTGATCTGCCTAACTTCGCGGGACTGCCGTTGCCTTAGGTGGTTCCGCGACCACCTCGCTTAGCCGTCACGTGTCTGATGCCTTAGGCCTTCTTTTATATACTTTCCTTCGCAATATCATCGCAGGGCCCTTACAAAAGGCTTAAGATTAATATATAGAGGTATAGCTTCTAAAATAAGAAAAAATAAATATATATAGAAAAAAAAGAAGCTTTATATAGTTTTTATCTAAAAACCGGCAAGGCCTGCAGTAAAAAGACTTAGTATTTGAAATCTATTTGCCCGATGGCAGCAATTGTCCGCCTTAGATTGCCAGTCAGCTTATCACAAGATCCCCGTCACTCGTTATGCAGGCGTCGAGATCAAATCGTCGCAGCATTACACCGGTTCATCCGTGTCATTGCTCCTGTTGATGATATGCTTAGTTACAAACTCAACCTCCCCGATTCATAGCACGTGCACCCCGTCATATCAATGGCGCATCTCGAGCCCGCGCCTGTCGGCAAAAGTCCACAGAGTCGTCCTGATACACACCCTCCGAACGTCACCGACGAACGCTTCCCTGATCAAGAACACTGGGAAGTGTCTGCCGTCCTCAACAAACTTGTCATTCCTCGTGGCCATCATCGAACTTTGGTTGCGCAGTGTCTGGTGCGGTGAAAAGGATACGGCCCGCAGTTTGATGAGTGGATTCGTGAGGAAGACCTCGCCGCAGATGGTTCGTAAGTACGAACGTCGCGTTGCTGGTGACGTTTGACGCCTCAGCCGTATTCCAGACAGTCCGCTTTCGTCTGTTCGTCTGCTCGCCCGTTCGATGGTTCGTCTGTGGCGTCTTTTGACCTCGCCTTTGGTCCTGCACATCTTTGCGTCTGTTCCTATGCTCGCCCTGCACGAACGTCTCCACATCTCGCTGCATTCCAGATTGCCTGCTTCATGTGTTCCCTACGTCGTGTATTCTAGAATTTCCCTGTTCGTCATCTTGAGACGTCACGCATATCGTTCATGTCGATTGCTATGTATTTAGCTATCGAGGACGCCAGCAGTTCTGACAAATTGCGGCATCTGTGGTGGAATTCGTGGTAGACGATATACCGCCGTATGTTTCCGTCCTGCGGGGATTCTTCGGCGGTCTCGCCCTCCCGGACTTCCTTCTTTCTCCAACAATCCAATAGCATACACATTGACACATACCTATCAAATGGCAGACATTTCGTATTGCCTGCATTCACTGCGCTATACTAAGTTGACTTGGCCGAGAGAAATAACTACTGAGATGATGTTGCGCGCACAGAGAAGTGACCTCCTTGGTGACATCCTCGTGGACGGCGAAAAGGGTACTTCAGGCGGTATGTGAAATACTATGAGAAAGCTTGGGGCCAGATGCCACTGTTACTAGCTTGAAATGGGGCATGCTTACGACAGCTGCTGGGATGATACCGTGCATAGACTGACGGGGGACATGCAATGTGAGGGGAAGCAGAGAGCAAGGCTGACGCGGAGAGAGAATGTGTGGACAGTATGCGTAACATGCGAGCCTGGTGATGACGAGGAATGAGCAGCTCTGGGGCAGTATTGACATGCTTCTCGAAGATCATTTTGAATATTTGGGTTCTGTCTTTAGTGTGGTCACCATAACACATGAAATCTCTAGAATAACCTCCAATCAACATATTCCGTCTCTCTAGAGAAATTGCTCAGCCCGACCATTAATCTATTACCTCAGGTTAGATCCACCACCTCAACCCTCACCCGCACCTCGGACACATCAGCCTGAACCCAGAACCCGATGTCCTTGGTCGATTCCACCAACTCCACCTCTCTCTTGACAAACCGATCTCCATCAGCATCTACACCCGCTACACGCTCATCCTCCGCCTCACTATCCCACTCCTCATCCTCCATCTTCTCCCGACTAACCGGATCCAACTCATCCGTCTCCCACACCAACCTCAGCCCATACGCAGGGAGCCCAAATAATCGCCCCGCAATCGCCTTAACCTGGTACGTATCGAAGGACCTGGGAATCTCCCTCGTCCGGACCACCTCCTCCGCTTTCCCCTCGGACCCATCACCACCCTTCTGGGCCCGCAGGTAAAACACAAACTTCACCAGCCGCGCAGCCACAGACCGAGGATTCACCACTTTCCCGGCTGCGTCCTCCGCACTCGCCCGCCGGATCTCCGGCTCGCCATGCAATTCGCATAGCTTCGCATACCGCGGATGCTTGGTCAGGATGGCCGGTTCTTCCGCTTGCGGCGTGGCGGAGAGTTCCTTCGCGATGAGGGAGAGGTAGTACAGTTCGCCGTTGGTGCGGTCTTTGGGCGTGACGGTGCCGTAGTTCAGGACCTGGAGGTTGGCGAGCCGCGCTAGGGTGAGCATGTAGGCTTCATCGACGGTCATGGGTTTCTCGGGCAGACCGGTGATGAACGTCGGGCCGATGGGCCCGTCGAAGAGCGGGTTGGTGGAGATGCGGAGGATCGTGAGCGCGGGGCATGTGGTGGGGAGGTGGTTGAGGAAGAGCCAGGTGGAGATTTTGTTGCGGGAGAGGTCGAGGGAGGTTAGGGAGGGGAAGATTAGCGGGGTGGGGCCTCCTGGGGTGGTGATGGTGCTAATGGCATTGGAGCGGAGGGACAGGTGTTGGAGATTGGGCAAGGAGGTCAGGGGTTGGAGGGCGGAGAGGGATGTGAAGTCGTTGTTTTCCAGGGTGAGGCGGGTGATGTTTGCGGACAGTGGGGAGGTGATCGCGGAGAGTTGGTTGGCGGAGGCGGAGAGCAGGGTGAGGGAGGGAAATTGGTGCGTTATGGCGGAGATCTCATCCCAGGCGAGAAGCGTCTCGTCGAGGTATAGCTCCGTAATCTTGTTGTATGTGAGGTCTTCTTCGACGGGGCCGAACCGATTGCCACTGTATCACTGTCAGAACACGTCCTGTCGTTTCTTAAGATAGGGACATACCCCAGCTTCAAGGACTTGAGGTGCTTGAGTCGCTCGCAGATCCTCGCCACGACGCTCCAGCTAGTCAACAGGTTACGGCTCAAATCCAGCTCCGTGATCTTAGGGCACGTCGTCTCAATCTCTTCGTACGCAGAGTCCACTTCGTCCGGGGTAGCCTGGTGGCCCAGCACGCCAGCGACCCGCAAGCCATCCAGCAGGACAATCTTCAGTTCCTGAAGTTCTGCCAGTTGCTTGCGGATTTTGTCGAACCCGACCTCTTCCACAACCTTTCCGCTGATCTGGATGGGCTTGTGCAAAGCGACAGGATCTGTCTCCTGGCGCTGTCGAGCAAGCTCCTGCTCCAGATACTCCGAAGCGTACTTCTCGCGCAGTGCCTCAACCAGCCCGCGCGGCTTGTCCGCTGGGCGCGACGGACGCACAAACGACCCGGCTGTGGGGTGATTGCGTTGGCCTATGTTTGTCAGTACATACTCATCGACAAGAAAAGAATTCAGCATAAGCAAATTTTAACTCACATGTAAAGTATCTCACACCCTTATGTTCGCCCGAATGCTTTCCGCGACTCGGATCATCCCATTCAACACCCAACCAGTCGCCGGTGGTACCCTCTACGGTACCAACATAGCGAACAGTACACAGATCCCCAGCATAGGACCGTCGCTGACCAACAGCCGGAGTATCCATGCCAGGCTCGATCTCCAAGTACCAACCAAAACGACCTCAATCACGAATATCAAGAAAATACTCCGTAGTTGAAAGTGGTATGCATATCCATTGATGGACGATACCGCGGAACCCACACCACAGCACGAACCAATAGCACCGCCACCAGTCTGCTTACCTAATCCGAGCTCCTCTCTCCGCCAAACTGCCTCAGTTGCCATCGATGATTCCATCCACTTCCAACACCAGCATATCCTAACCACAACACCCTCACCTCCCCCTCCCTCCCATTCCACCCCGAAACCGAGCCCGAAGGCGCAAGTCCCAAAATGGACTACCAGGTACGATCCCCCTATCCCCTTATCCCCATATTCCCGTCAACCCACCCACTGACGATCCCCGATCTAGAACCGCGCAGGCTCGAAATTCGGCGGCGGCGGCGTCGCCTCGCACAGCGCGACAAACGCCGACCGGCGCGAGCGGCTCCGCAAACTGGCCCTCGAGACCATCGACCTGGACAAAGACCCATACTTCTTCAAGAACCACGTGGGCTCGTTCGAATGCCGGCTATGCCTGACGGTCCACCAGAACGACGGCTCCTACCTGGCGCACACGCAGGGCCGCAAGCACCAGACGAACCTGGCGCGGCGCGCGGCGCGCGAGCAGCGCGAGGGCAAGAACCAGGACCCGTCGGCGCTGCCGGGGGCGATGGGCGTGCAGGTGAAAAAACAGACCATCAAGATTGGCCGACCGGGGTACAAGATCACCAAGATCCGCGACCCGCTGACGCGGCAGCTGGGGATGCTGTTCCAGCTCCAGTACCAGGAGATCACGCCGGGGGTGACGCCCCGAGTCAGATTTATGTCGGCGTTCGAGCAGAAGGTGGAGGAGCCGCCGGACAAGAGTTTTCAGTATTTGGTCATCGCGGCGGAGCCGTATCAGTCCTGTGCGTTTAAGCTGCAGGCGAGGGAGATTGATCGGCGCGAGGGACGGTATTGGACGTGGTTTGATGAGGACAGTAAAGAGTTCTGGGTGCAGATTATGTTCAAGACGGAGCGCGAGGAGCGGTATTCCGGTGTGCCGGGTTTGGCGCCTCTGGAGCCGAATGCTTGAGCTTTGTGTTTTTTTTTGTTTCGTTTGGGTTCGGTGACTTGGGTGATGCTGGTGTTTGTGGACCAGGTTTTCTTTCTTCTCTCTCAAAATGCATGTATCATCTCTAGCTTCTGGGTGGCGTTCTATTTCAAGGGTTACTCTTTTCTCAGATATTCAGACATTAGCAGCAACAACACAATGATCCATATCGAGCTTATCATGGTCCTAGTGATCTTCCAATCTACGTCCTCCACATTGCCCAAGCCATGATAGCCTTACTCACAGTTACTTCCATGAATACAGCTACTTGAGTCACAAGTCAAGTCTAGGTCTGAGTCTAAGTAAGTCGCCGTGGAAATCCACATGTCACTCGAATTTCTAGCTACATACACGGCTAGCAGCGAGCAGTCGTCGTCTCGCGACAAGGATGCAATGAAATCAAACGGATATGCCTGGGTCGTGACCAACAGAGATGATGAAATGCGCTATATGCTCGATGAAACGGATGCACAATGTGGTAATACCGAGACGAAATGCCGAGTGCGCCACTGAAAATCCATCAATGCAAGCCCGCCCGCTTTCGGACTCTTCAATGACGTCTATCGTGGGTTCACCAACAAACATGCAATATCCACGTCTATAACTTAGTTTGCCTGGAAGGCGTTGAACGCTTTGTACGTGTAGCCGATGAACGGCAGGCTCATCTCCGCCTCCTGCTCTTCCGGCATGGCCCGAGCCTGGGCGCGGTGGATGGCACTGGTATCCTCCTGAGGAATCTCGTCGATCGGGAAATAAGACACGTCGATGTTCGAGCTCAACCGCGGCTCGAAGGGCGCCCGGATGTTGCGCAGCTGCTCCCAAACAACGCCACGGAAGAAGGGGTGGTTCTTGATCTGCGTCGCACCGCCGAATTGGCCGCCTTCACTGCCGATACGGTGTTCGGTATCGCACAGGAAGCTATAGCTCGTCAGTAGAGACCCTGACGATGCAATGAGAAAAAAAACGTACCTTCTGATCAAACCCTCCGACTCCCGCGAGAGGACAAGCTCCTCGGGGAAGTACAGACATTCTCGCCAGTTCACGATCTTACGGTAGGTGTCGGTCGTGTCCTCGGCGCAGAATGGCGGCCAGCCAACCAAGCACTCGAACATGATAGCACCAACAGACCACCAATCACACAGGTAAGTGTATCCCTGCCCATTGAAAATCTCGGGCGCAATGTAATCGGGTGTACCGACGGTCGAGTAGGCCATAGCGCGACGAGACTTTCTCCACGTGTTGATCTGGCCACGATTGGAAACAGTCAGGTTGATCGCGTCATTGAAGTATCCCGAGTTGCGGTTCTTGTCCTTTGACGTGGAGTTTTTAAGTAAGTTCTGATAGTATGAGTTGTCGTGCGTCTTCTTGCCACCGGTGGAGAGACCGAAATCGGTCAGCTTAACGTGACCTCCACGATCCAAAAGAATGTTATCAGGCTTGATATCACTGCAGGGAGTTAGCGTTGTTTCCGCAAATCACAATAAATCGGCCTACCGATGAAGGAAACCAAGCTTGTGGACAGCCTCGATAGCCATGACAATCTCTGCCATGTAGAAGCGAGTAATGTCCTCCGAGAAAATCTCATACTTGATCAACATAGTCATCAAATCACCACCGGGCAAGAACTCCATCAGCAGGTAGAGATAAGCCGAGTCCTGGAAGGAAGCGTGCAGCTTGACCAGCCACGGGTTGTCCTTGGAGTCGGCCAGGATATCTCTCTCGGCACGAACGTGGGCCAGCTGGTCCTTCTTGAACATCTCGGTCTTGATCAACGACTTGAGCGCGTAGATCTTGCCATCGGTCTTCCGTTGCACCAGCTTCACCTCTCCAAACGCACCCTTTCCGATAACCTTGATGGTCTGGAAATTTTGTGGCGTCTCCTTGGTACGCAAGAACCGCAAGAAAGTCGACTCCTTCTTCGCAAGCACCTCCGCCTCCTTGCGCTTCGTATCCTTGGGAACACCAGGGTCACGAATCATCTTATCGAGCTCAGCAGACCTGGAGAAAGGAATTAAAGTCAGCATTGCCTGTTTCACAGAGTTCGACTAATATCAGACGAATACTCACCGCAAGTTGCGGTCACGCGCGCGCTCAATGTTCTCGTTGAAAAACACACTGACCAATTCCTTGGCCGCCTTACCACGCTTGTGAACGTTTTCCGAGTATCGCTCCGGGTAGCGCTGGAGCTCTTCGTTCTCGGCGGGGGTCCGAGGGCTGCGTGGCATGGGGGGGGCCAGATGACCGGGTTGCTGTTGTGCGGCGGCGGGGGAGCCAGCGGTCCGGGGTCGTTGAGCGGGAGAGGCTGCGCGACCAAAGAAACCCGACCGCGGGGAGTTCAGGTCCTGGTTGGAGAACTGCTGGATCAGGCCGTTCGTCCCATCATTGGCGTTGTAGCCCATGCGGGACCCGTATGCGGCTTGAGAGGACTGCAGGTTTTGGCCGTAGTGTTGTTGTTGTTGCTGTTGTTGTTGTTGCTGCTGCTGCTGTTGCTGCTGCTGAGCGTAGGCCCCCTGGGCTTGGTAGGGGTTGGCCATGAAATAACCCTGGCCATAGGCACCGTTCTGAGCATCGACATATTCCTGGCCACCCTGGTTCTGGTAGATGGGCTGAGGGAATGCGGAGGGGGTAGTGGGATAAGCGCGATTGTTGGCAGCCGGGTTGTTGAAGGAGCGATCATTGTACCCGAAATTCAGGTGGAGACGATTGTTGTTGGGATCCATGATGAGCAGAACTGTCCTCCCCGAGGCTGGATAGCCGTGATTGACAGAGAATGGCGGGGAGAGAAGTTAAGTTGATGGGACGAAGGAAAGGGGAGAAAAGAAAAGAACCGAACGATAAGCAGAAAGCCAAGGGGGAGGGGGGAGGGGGGGGGGAGTAAGAGGAGGAGTCAAGAATGTGGAAGATGTGGTGGAAGTTCAAGTGGAGTTTGGTTTGGGCTAGACTAAAGAGGAGAGAGACGGAGGGGCGGTTAAGGAAAGAGTGGAAGTGGAAGGGGAGGAAAACAACTTTAAGGGGCGGGCGGGAGAGGAGCGGTGGCTCTTGAGTAAACTGTACTGTACAGTCTCAGGAGGCGACTCTTGCCTTTTGACACTGTCCACCACCACCTCCACCACCAACATTGATATTGGTGTTTCATGATTGATAACGTGGAAGAGATGAAACATTTCCGACTGTTGTCGAACAGACAGGTCACATTATCCTTTACAATCCTAGAGTAAGCCCAACCCAATAGAATTGAGGCTTGCAAGCAACCACAGCATCCAAAAGAGGACTGGATCGATCTGAAACAATCTGGAGCATCCATCCATCACCAGGACATAAAGAGGCCAGACTCCCTCGCTACGGCATGCCAGGGTCTCCAGTCGTGTGGTTTCACTATCCCTATCAGGCGAAGACTCTGATCCTCCGATCACCCAGTAATTAGTCTTAGTCTCCATCAGAGATTGAGTGTTTCTGCCTTCCAGGGTCTTTCCGATCACGGGACTATACAATGCTCCTAGTACATCACCGTAATGGCGTCTGCTATGCTCGCAAAGGTAGATGGAGGATATTTATCAGACGGTTGCAACCAACAATGAGGTTGTCCAGTATATAATCAGGTATGAAAGTTATAGCTACCTAAAATTAAGAATATCATTGTTTACCGAGCACTATGAATGTGTGCATACAAACATGAGTATAGTATACTCTCGCCCCCCGGACGGATCAACGTGGATCCGACGGAGCTGTAGCGTTCATCCCCGAACTTTTTCGGTCCTCCGCCATAGTAGTAGATTCTTGACCTCGGGAATCACCACTTAATTACGAGGAAGTTGATCTTCCTCTGTGTTCACTCCTCCGTCCAGTATACCCCGAGGACCTTTCCGGACAGTCGACTATTTCGACCATCATGGCAGACTCCTCCAACCCCAAACCTGCGGAGACTGCAGCCCCGGCTCAGCCCGCGGCCTCAAAGCCCGCCTCGAAGCCTGCCAACCCTGCCTTTAGGATGATGGGTATGGCACTCGCACCTTCTCCATAAGCTCTTCGTATGCAACCCTCACAAACTAATAAACGGACTGCCAGGCCTCCCGAACATCAAATTCCGCCTCCCCTCCCGGAACTGGATGATCTTCTGGACCATCACCGGCTCTTTCACCGCGGCCCTGATCTACGACCGTCGAGAGAAACGCCGCGCCCAGCAGAAATGGTGTGACCTGGTGGCGCACCTGTCCAAGGAGACGCTGCCCGTGGAGCAGATGCGTCGCAAGATCACCGTCTTCCTGGCCGCGCCGCCCGGGGACGGGCTCCGGGTCGCGCGCGACCACTTCAAGGAATACGTCAAGCCGATCCTCGTCGCGGCGGCGGTCGACTACCAGGTCATTGAGGGCCGCCGCGAGGGCGAGGTGCGCGCAGGCCTGGCTGAGCAGATCCGCAAGACGCGACGCCGCGCGGGCGAGCCCAGTTCCGTCGTCGAGGAGCCCAGCGTCGAGGGCGTCGTCTACGACACGCGCACGCACCTGGGCATCACGGACGAACCGGGCCCCAAGGGCGACCTGGTGATCGGCCGACACACTTGGAAGGAGTACATCCGGGGTCTGCACGAGGGCTGGCTCGGCCCTCTCGACCCGCCTCCCCCTGCACCCACCGAAGACGAACCCCAACCACCCTCCTCCCCCGTGCCCGAAGACGGTGCCCCCGAAACCCCCGAGAAGCAAGAAGACACACCCACCGAAGAGAAGAAGCAAGAAGAAGAGAAGAAGAAGAAACCCACCGGTCCGACCCCAACTTACCTCCCGACCAGCGCCTACGACCTCCAACCCCTCCCGCCGACTCTCCCCGCCACCCTCGACGGCTCCGTCCCCATCACCTTCCCGCACCTCCTGGGCTTCCTCAACACCCCGATCCGCATCTACCGCTACCTAAACCGGCGCCACCTAGCCGACGAGGTCGGCCGGGATGTCGCGGCGCTCGTCCTCGCCTCCTCCAGCCGCCCCTACACCGAAACCACCCCCGCCCCCACAACCGACTCATCCGAACCCGCCCCTACAACCTCTGACCCCATCCCCGAACAACAAACCATCCTCGCGGCCGCCGAACGCGACTGGCACAAATCCGTCCACCGCACGGACGAGACCAACCCCGACAAGGAGCGCGAGTGGCTCGACCCCATCGTGCTGGACCCGCGCCTCGCGTCCCGCATGCACCGGTACACCGTCTCCCCCGAGGAAGAAGCTCGGGCGACCCGCATCGCCACGGGCGAGGAATACATCCGCGGCGAGGAGCGGCCCGCTCCCGTGCCCGTGTGGCAGCGCCTGTGGGTGAAGTACGGCTACGGCGAAGACGAGGCCACCCTCCGCCGGAGGCCGATTCTGGGAAACCTCGACAATGAGGATGGCGAGTAGAAGTCTTTTCTTTCCAAATGTATAAGAGCTCTTCGACGCAAAAGGGATCCCTATATCAGTCTAGACTTTTTTTTCTTATTTTGAACAGACGGCGAGGCGAGGGAAAACAGTATATAGATGTTATTTCTGTGGATGATGATCGGGTAGCCCAGCCAACCACCCACCATCTTGGGCTGTCGGCCTTGTTGATATGATATGTCATTTGTTTTTGGTTTTGGTTTTATGCATGGGAACGGAACCGTCACTGCTCTGGTTTGTATTTCTATCTTCTTTGCGTTGTTGGTCGTCTTAGAGGTGTATATTATTCAATCTAGAGGTGTTTTGATTGTGGATGCTTCCTGTGGTGTAAATATAGTGTATTCTTTTGCAGGGTCCGAAAAAAAATATACCAGGGGAATGGGCTCTCCGCTTCTAGCGTGGTCAGTTCTCAAATACCGGCTTGAGTAACCACTCCACATCAGTTTGTAGTCTGAAAGATGCAGCTGGAGCAGACAAGCTACCATAACAAAACTCGAACAATCAGCCTAGTGATACACACCTTAAGAATTGAAAGCTCTTTTATAACGTCTAGCTACAATTGCCCCTCCCCCCTCATTGTTCTACGGTTCCCATACCCATGCATACAAGGTATACTTCAAACACGCGACTGCAATAGCTATACCCAGGCTAATCACCAGAAACAAAAAGGAGGTAGATATCCAGTTCTTAAGAGATGACACACAACAAGCCCTGGCTGTTGAGCCGGGTATCGTGTTACAGAGTTCTACCCATCCAAACTCAAAGCATTTTCGATTTTTCAATTCACTTCACACTTACTCCAGACGGAACACCGATGACTCGGGCCACTTGCTGCTGGCCTTCTGAGCGTAGGCGGTCTTGGCAGCCTGGTCACTGCCCCATGCGGTCAGCAACTCCAGGCCAGTGAGGGCGGTATCGATGGTGATGTCGTTCGAATCAAGGGTCGCGGTAAGCTCTTGTTCACATTGCGACTTGGTGTCGGGCTTCAGGAGCTGCCGGCTGGTGAGACCGGCCTGGACTTGAGGGACACTGTCCTTGTGGGTGGAAATGAAGGACTCGTTCCACTCGTCCAGGTTCGTCGATTTCGGGAGCAAGACCTCGAATTCGGCGTTGACGGCCTCGGCCACCTCAGCAGCAAGGGGCTCGGATAGGTTGTCCAGAGCTTTGCGGAATCGGAGGATTTGAACGTGGAGGGTGGGGTTGGCGGCGTCGATCGAGTGGGCGGCAGTCAGGCACTTGAGGGCGAGCGCGTATTTACCTAAACAGAGGCAGGGTTAGTGGGCGTGAGGATAGCAAATGGCAAGGCGATGACATACCTCTTCTGAGATAAACCTCGAATCCAAGAGTCTGAGCCTCGATGCTCCTGGGACTGAGCTCCAACAAGGGAGTCAAGAACTTCATCGCCTCCTTGAGCGGGTCCTGAGTCGCGACCAGCTTGGTGCCAAGCGGATCAGGGTCCTCCTTCTTCACGTCTCCGTCGGTGCTCTTGCCGGTGCTGGCCGCCTTTCTTGCCTCACGCTTCTCGGCTTCCAGCTTCTCGAGGCGCTGCTGCTCCTTCTTGGCCTTCTTGAGGGCCTTCTTGCGCTCGTTCTCGTCCTCTCCGACACCGTTGGTAGCCATAGGTCCGTGGGCCAGATCCGGCTGGTCGTGCAGGAGCAGGTATGACTTGATGGCCGAGAAAGCCACACGGGTGTAGAAGGGGTGTTCGCGCAGGCGGTCCTCCCACCGGACCATGTCCACGTACGCGCGGATCATGCCCTTCCGCAGCGAGAAGCTGTGGAAGTCGAACTGATCTTCTTGCCAGGTGTCGAAGATGTTGTAGACGGCGTGGAAGCGCTTGAGAGCAAGGCCGAGCTTCTTCTGGCGCAGGTAAGCCTCGCCATCCTCCGTCAGGAACCACACACACTGCATATCATGCAGATCGCCCAGAGCGCCTCCAACAGCCTCGTTCCGGGTGAACTTGCTCATGTTGTCAAGACCCTTCTCGTTGTCGTTGTTGCGGAGCTGATACTTGGCAGCCTTGGAGTTGATATAGCGATCCTTCTCGTCCAGCAGACGGGCCTTCTCCATCTCCTCAGCAGCCTTCTCAACGTTGCCGTGGTGTTTCCAGATCCGCGCCTTGGTCATCTGGTATTCCACGGCCTTGGGCGACAGCTCAATGGCCTTGTCGACATGTTCCATCGCCTTGGTCAAGTCACGGCTGAGGTGGTAGTTGTAGTGCTGGGCGAGGAAGTAGTGGGAAGAAGAAAGAAATTCGGTGTTGTCGCTATCGGCCTGACCCTCAGCAGAACCGTTGGATTGAGGACTCGAGACGTAACCCTCAACCAGCTCCTGAACAGTATCCCGCTTAGCCACGTTGGTATAAAGGGCCTTGATGTTGGCAAAAAGCGAAGGAACGCCCTTCTTGAGCGAGCGCTGCAGATAGGCATCAGCAGCCTGCTTGAAGTCGTCTCCCTCGAGGAAGTCCAGAGGGATCCGGCGAGCAGCGTCACCACGGGGGGCCTTCTCCACCCAGGAATCGTACAAGGCCTTCAAAGCCTTGGTATCGTCCTTGGAAAGACCCTTGGCCCGGATCAAAGCATCGTAGTAGATCGAGTTCTCGGGGTTCCGCTCCAGAAGAGTAGTGTATGCGGCATCAGCCTCGGCCTTGCGGTCCAGGCGCAAGAGGTAGTCCGCCTTCATTTCCAGCACAGCCTGCACATCGGCACATCTGCGACCGAACTTCTCCAGATGCTCCAATGCCTGCTCCAGCTTGCCGGCCTCGGCCATGATAGTGTTCTTGTACAGGACGGCCTCGGAGTGCTCCATGTCGGAGGTGGGCGGCGGGGTCTTCAGCGTCTCCTCGTACGTCGTGAGCACCTTCTCGGCCTCCTCGAGATCGCCGGAGAGGTGGTGTGCGATCGCCAGGGCGGTCCAGTTCTGTCGGAAGCCGGGGCGGGCCTGCAGCATAGTCGTCCGGCTCTGTATGTAACCCTGGTAATCCCGCATCTGCATCTGGAGGAGCGCCAGATCCCGCTGGATGGGCTGCGACTCGGGCTCGATCCTTAGGGCAAAGCGGTATGCCTTGATCGCCTCCTCGTAGTTCTTCTCCGCACGGTACAGCAGCCCGTAGACGTGCCAGCAGATATGCGACCTCATGTCGTTCTTGAGGGCCTCCTTGGCCAGCACGAAAGCCTCCTCCAACTGGCCCATGTTGCTCATGATCAGAGCCTTCATCGCCAAGGTATCGCCATGGTTGGGGTTCTTCTTCAGGATTTGTTCGGCGGTCTTGATGCCTGTTGTGCGATGCGAGCATTGCGTTAGCTGTTTTGCACTTGAGTGCTTGCTACCTACCCACTTGCGAAAGTAACAGGCGTGTTCATTTTGGAGGGGTTCTGCAGAACGCACCTTTCTTATGTTGCTTGTTTTCATAATGACGGACCACTTGGCGGAACAAGGCCGCATCCTTGGAGCTCAATGGTTGTGGCATGGTGCGTGTGGGGGACAGGTGGAAGGTGCAGTGCAAAGACTTGCGGACTTGCCAGATGACTGACTGTGTGCGGAAGACGGAAGCTGGGCGGTGGTCGTGCGCGGGGAGGGGAGAGTGAGAGAGAGAGAAAGAGAGGGACGGACTCGATAAATGACGATTGCTTAGGCAGCGATAAGCTCTGGCCGTTTCTACAACAAGAACTTTTTTACAGGGAAAATCTCAAGAAGAACAGCAAACAACGATGGACACTCTGAGGTTTTTTGAGTCGAGCAATTCCTATTGAGAACGCTACAAATAAGCTATTCATTCACAAAGTTCTTTCCCGACCCCCGTCTTCCCTCGAGACTTGCCCGGTAATAGTCAAAATGTTTATCCGAAGCGGCGCTTGCATGCATATGCAACACTGAACAGACAGCCCTGTCCATTCACTGTGCTCGGTTCATTGAATTGAGAGAAAGCTATAAGAGTGAAGAACGCCGTTGAATGCTATTGTTACATGGTCATTTACATACATAACTAGTGAACATGGTCAAATGACCGCTTGTGCTGGCCGGAATCGACCCGACCCTCCAAAGCAGAAGACTCCCAAGCGAGACTCCATCAACCCTGAAACCAAGAATATTCTTACAAGTCCTTCGCTGGTTGTTGTTTGGTTTCGCGCCACTTGTTCAGCGCTTCTTCCCAGCTCTCTGACGAGCTTTCGCACCGCTCCGTCACAAGGCCCCAGGTCCGCGCCCGAATGATATCTTCAACGCTTCTTTGATACCGAACGAGGTATGCCAGGGATTCCGTGCGTGGTTCGCGAGGGAAGAACCGCGCAGAGTAAGGATCGAGTCTTTCGTCGACCACTCGCTCGCGGTCCTTGGCCGACTCGACTTCCCGCAGGAGAAGGTCCGGATCTTCCGGGTCAGGGCTCGTTGCCACACCAGCGCAATAACTGAGCACATCTGACCGCGCCTGCCATGACGGGAACAACACTTTATTCTTGAAGCCTTCGCAGGCTGTCGGGTCGATTGTTCGCTCCGCCGTGGAGTCTATCTGGCGGGCGGCCGTTGAGGAGGGGTCGAAACCGTCCCGCGCCGGAGTATACAATGCATTGAGATTCTGCGTGATCGAGTCGTCGATCGTCGATCGTGAGAGGCGCAGAAATTCTAGTTACCCGTGGAAACCGTCGTCAGCGCTTGTTTGTGCCATTGCACGCTTTGGTGGCGACGGAAGTCTACATACCTCGGAGTGCCCTTTCATTGAAACAGAACTTGGGGCTTAACGCAGGGGCCGCGGTTGAAGTTTGGTGAGGCATTTTCTGACCCTCTGCTTTCCCAGCCTCCCCGTCCGACGCACGTTTCTCAGCCCAGAATAAATCCACTTTGTAGGTTGGGAATGCGGTCAAGGCGGCTGTCGGTGGCAATCCCGTCTGTTGGCGGCGAGTCGATTAGCGAGAAGAGAGTATCGCTGTACCTGAGTTGAAAGCCGAGGAAGCACTTTCAGTAGTTGCAAGCACCCTTGGCGATAATTCGATAGTAATTCAAAGCGTATTTGGGAGCAGATGTCCGTGAGAATAAGCCAGGACCTGAAGCGATGAAGTGGGAATAATGCGCATGAGGGCCGGCCCGCATGCCGTCCAGACCATCAGCACAAGCAGCTTACTGCCGGAACCGGTTAGCAATCTCGAATCACGGGACTACGTGATTCCTTGACGCGCGTTGCTGCAACACTCGCCTGACGAGGGATTTCTTCCAGACAAACTAATGCAATTCACTTTCAGTCCGGAAAATCCCCTCCAAAGCTTGATCAGTATCTACCACGTAATTTCGAAATCCTGCATCGGCCCAATCCGTTGACACACAATGCCTGAGCTAGCGGAGGTTTCGCGCATCGTCCACTTCATACGCCACCATCTGGTCGGCAAGACTCTGACGAAAGTGTCTGCGCAACATGATGACATTGTCTACGGCAAGGTTGGAACTACTGCCGCCGAGTTTCAGAAGGCAATGGAAGGAAAGAAGGTCGTTGGCGCCGGACAGCAGGGCAAGTATTTCTGGATCACCATGTCGACGCCGCCCCATGCGGTGATGCATTTTGGCATGGCTGGCTGGCTTAAGATCCGTGATGCCGACACATACTACTATCGTACCAACAAACCAGAGGACAAAGAATGGCCGCCCAAGTACTGGAAATTCTTGTTGGAAACCGACGGTGATCCGAAGACAGAGGCGGCCTTCGTAGATCCTCGTCGGCTTGCTCGCGTACGGCTCGTTGATTGTCCTGCCGAGGAGATTCGCAAGCATAGCCCATTGCAAGAAAATGGTCCGGATCCGGTCGCTGATAAAGATACTGTCACGGAGGAGTGGCTTACAAAGAAGCTCAGGAGCAAGAAGGTTCCCGTCAAAGCCCTTCTGCTCGATCAGGCGAATATTAGCGGAATTGGGAACTGGATGGGGTATGTTCATTGTCCTTCTAGCTCCTAAGTAGATTCGATCGCTAAACTAGCTCTAGTGATGAAATCTTGTATCACGCAAAGATACACCCAGAGCAGTATAGCAACACCCTGAATGATGACCAGATCAAGGAGCTCCACACCGCTATGCACTATGTCTGCTCGACATCAGTGGAACTGCTAGCCGACTCCGAGAAGTTTCCGGAGCATTGGCTGTTCAAGCATCGATGGAGTAAGGGCAAGAAGAACGTCCCATCTGTCCTGCCCAACGGAGAGAAGATCACTTTCCTTACCGTGGGCGGTAGAACAAGTGCTGTGGTTCCCAGCGTACAGAAGAAGACTGGTCCAGTGGCAAAAGAAGTTGGCAGCGATAGCGGCAGCAACTCGAAGCGAAAGAGGGACCCTGTCGTGAAGAAAGAGGATGAAGCACCAGTGAGCGAAGACGAATCCAAGCCGAGAAAAGCTAGCTTCAAGAGAGAGAACAAAAAAGCCATCAAAACCGAAGATGAGGAAGAATCCAAGCCGTCGGAATCAACAGCTACAACCAGACGGCGCTCAACAAGGGTGAGGAAGTGATTCCATGTGTGGTCTGTCTTTTTATCGTCGCCACCTTGTCAAATATAACTATACTGTGACGATTCAAGATGAGAATCGACGAGGACATGTTATACCTTCGGGCTCAATTTCTTGCTGCGTCAATGCTCATATTGTCATCCCATGAAGCTTGTCTCTGAAGACATCGAAATTCCCGTTACCCTGCGCAATTTTCTTTGCATCGTCTAGGATCGCGAAGACGATCTTCTCCCACCAGCCTTGGAACTCTTTCTCCCGCAAGACCTCGGCCCAGCAATCAGCAACTTCGGCGTTCGGGTTTCCAAAGGCTCCGCAACCCAATGCCCCTAGAACAAGCCTGCGGTGTTTCTTATACGCAGCGATTCGAAGAATTAACCTCATTTTCCTCTTCATACCCTCGCGATCGCGCGGGCTTTTGTACCTCGGCGGGTCGTGTTGGTGGTCTATTTCTGGATCCTGAATAGCAGCCACGCTAATCACGCTCACCACCGGGAAAAGATCGGGTTTCTCCTGGTCCATCAGCTCATGGCCTTGGTCAATGCTCTCTCGGAAGATGAGGACAGACGGTGAATAAATAGCGCCGAGGAACTGTAAAGGGTAATAACAACGTTTGAGTGTTGAGCTTAAGCTGCTCCGGTAGCAGAGTGCCTCTTCTTGGGCAAGGGCTCCGTTGAGCCATCCGCCGCCAGGCTTTTTTGCGTTGGCCATATTGAGAATACAAACGTGCTCCGCGTTGTTTTGATTGTAGGGGTATAGAGAAGGTCCCAGTCTAGTAGCAATATCGAAAGTATCACCGAGCAGTATTTCCACTTGGGTCGCCAGCCTCGGGCTGAATCTAGGATCAAGAGCTTCATATTTGAAGCCGTGACATATTTGCCCGATAGGAGGTGACTCGGGCCGTGTAGACAAAATTCTTGGGAGCAATGCGTTTGTTTCTTCTGCGACCAATCTGAGTTTCTCTCTTCGGCCTCGCCACGATTGTTGTGCTCCTGCTTGCGGCCGCTTCCGCCGTCCGCTCATCGGCCGGAAATAATCAGTAATTAGGTTCGAAGCCATTCAAGGATTGCAGTCTGACGGCTCTGTGAAGCTTTAATGGGATCAGACAAATGAATTGAAGACTACTCTGTGTGAATGTGTCCTATGTATCATAAAATCAGGCTCCTAGGCAGCAAGGAAAGCGCATTCCGGCGGTTGGTGCCTCGTGTTTGGTGGGCCGGCAGAACGATCAGGGACGCGATAAGATTAGGCCAAAGGAGCAGGCGGTGGGCTTATCATCGCCGATCGCGGGGCAACCACTTCAATCTCATCCGCCTTTCAAAGGCGGTTCCGTCGCCACGATGACAAAGCATTGATTCTATCACAATTACTTTCAATCCGAGTTCTCTTCTCAGCAACTCTGATCATTTCAAGATAACTTTCTTTCTCTGCTTACAACAGGCCTACTGCGTGCCTTTTTGTGACCTCAGACTCAATCCACGAAGCTTTCACCTGGAACTCGCGAGCTGCGGATCCCTTTATCAATCCCAGTCTACTGTGTCGGCCTCCGGCGTCTGCCACAATGAGTGCAATTCTCTCTGCAGACGACCTCAACGATTTTATTTCCCCTGGTGTCGCCTGTATTAAGCCAGTCGAAACCCTCCCAAAGAAGGAGGAATCCAATTCAGACGTACGTGCGCCGAGCAACTCCTTTCCTCCTCGACCCCGCTCTGTCCAATGATAAGCCTCTAATTTCTAATTGTATAGAATCCTTATGAAGTGACCAAAGAAGACAAGGTTGAGCCCGAGAACCTCCCTCCGGCTCAGATATCTTTGACAGACTGTCTCGCCTGCTCTGGATGTGTCACATCCGCCGAAGCAGTGCTTATCTCGCTGCAGTCACACGCCGAGGTCCTCAACACCCTCGATACATATCCCGAACTATCGCTAAGTGGCGATGACGCTCATGATGGCGAGAGTCGAATATTCGTTGCGAGTGTCAGTCCACAAGTGAGGGCGAGCTTGGCGGCAACCTACGGAATAGCAGAGAAGGATGCAGATAACATGATTCACCAATTCTTGAGTGGTCCGCAGGGTTTACGGGCTGGAGGAGCGAAGAACAGCGGTTTCACATGGGTAGTCGACACCAACGTAATGAGGGAAGCCGTTCTATCTCTCACCGCGGACGAGGTCAGCGACTCATTGGCTGCAAACTCAGACACCACTGGATCGTCGTTCCCGAAACGCCCTATTTTGTCTTCCGCATGTCCAGGATGGATCTGTTACGCTGAAAAGACGCATCCTTTCATTCTTCCTCACTTGTCGCGTCTCAAGTCTCCCCAGGCACTCACCGGAACATTTCTGAAAACAGTGCTTAGCAAGTCCTTGGGAATCCCCACTTCTCGCATCTGGCATCTGGCTATAATGCCGTGCTTTGATAAGAAGCTGGAGGCCAGCAGAGAAGAACTCACAGATGCAGCTTGGTTTCCTTCCTCTGCTGAGTCTACCACGCCAGTTCGCGACGTTGACTGCGTCATCACCACGCGCGAGCTTCTTTCATTGGCGTCTTCCAGAGGCATTTCGTTGCCCAGTCTGCCTTTGAAGCCAACGTCTCAGCCGCAATTCCCCGACTCAGTATTGAATGACTTCCTTTTCTCTGAGGGTAACTCTGCCCAGAATTCTACGACAGGTACCTCTGGAGGCTACCTCTATCACGTCCTCAAATACTTTCAATCACGAAATCCAGGTAGCGAGATTGAGATTCAACGAGGAAGGAATGCGGACGTCGTGGAGTACTTTTTGATGTCGCCCGAACGCCAGCCCATCATGAAGGCTGCCCGTTACTACGGTTTCAGGAACATCCAGAATCTTGTCCGTAAACTCAAGCCAGCGCGAGTATCTCGACTCCCCGGTGCGCGGACAGCAAATGGGGCGATGGGAGGAAGCAGACGGCAGCCGATGGGACGAAATGCTGCATCAGGTGGATTGGGCTCGGACTATGCATACGTGGAAGTCATGGCATGCCCTGGGGGCTGCACTAACGGCGGAGGACAAATCCGCATTGAAGACGCCAGAGATGCGAGAAGCGCACAGACTGAGACTTCAGGGGAGGCACCGAAGCCCTCCCCGCATGAACAGCGCGCATGGCTCGCTCGTGTGGACGAGGCATACTACTCTGCCGAGTCGGACTCGGAGGGTGAGGTCAACCCTCAGTCACAGCCCCTGTCTCTTGCGGAACAAGAGGCCAGGGTGCATAACGCCCTGAACCATTGGGCTACCTTCATGGGCGTGCCGCTTTCAAAGCTGGCTTATACGACATATCGGGAGGTTGAGAGCGACGTGGGCAAGCCCCAGGGACCACCGGATGCCGCTCGTGTGGTTGAATTGGCTGGGAAGATCGGTGGTGGTTGGTGATTTCTTACATTCGATGACGACATATACCCTGTGATGTTTGCATATATGATTCCATACGGTTGCATTAGGACTGCATCTGCATAGCTACGGATACAGATAAATAAATAGTTAAACGATTTCAACTTGGTCAAACACTGTTTTTGCCTTCGAAGTTGCTTAGATCCTCTTCTACTATATTGTCAGTATACTGATAGTATATAGACCGCATCGACCCACCGCCTACCCCAACAAGCTAGCCGGGCCACCACCCCGATAACCAACAACGCTGACTAACCACTCCAGATCCTTCTATCCTTTCCGCGCCGCAAAAAAGCTCCCGCGATAATTCCAGAGCCATCCACCAGCCCATCGCGAACCTCCCACCTCCATCCACGCCACAACTCTCACCGAAAACCTCCCACGAAAGAAACATAATGTCCCGCGAAGCCTACCAAGTCCCCTCCAACCTCGGCGGCTCCCAGAGCGCCTTCGGCGGCGCTGACTCCGGGGCGGGCGGCGCGGCGGGCTCCCTCGATGGGCCCATGGTCGCCTACCTGTGCGGCGAGTGCAACTCGCGGGTGTCGCTGAAGCGCGGCGACCAGATCCGGTGCAAGGAGTGCGGACACCGTGTTTTGTATAAGGAGCGGACGAAGAGGTTTGTTTTGTCTTGTTTTTCCCTTTGGGGCTCCGGCTCCGGCCCCGGCCCCGGGGTTGGGCGTGAAGGATAATCTTGCTGACTCTGGGGTTTTCTGGCTATAGAATGGTGCAGTTTGAGGCGCGGTGATTGTGGGATATTGAGTTGATGTTACTTGGGTTGTTGGGAGGGATTTTTGGGAATGATGGGGGGGGGGGGGGGGAAGCAGATTCATGGGGACCTGAAAAGGGAGATGGGGAGGAGGACGAGGGCGGAGGGGTTGCTGCTTGATTACGATTGATGTGCATTTTCATCTGTGGTGTTTGGGAGTTCATACCACTTATTTTTCTCATTCTCTTTGCGTCGTGGTGGTGGTGGTGCGGTTGTGTTGGGTAGTCTGGGCAGGCTTCTTTGTCTTCAAGTTGGCGTGACTATGGTCAAGCTCAGCAGCTTACTGCTTGTGCATAGAGAATGTCTATCGAGGCTTTTCCTGCCAAGTGGCTGGGTTATGCCTCATCATTTCGGCATCTTGTCATATGCTGCCCTATGCTTGCACTATCCTATGCTACTCACAACTTCCAATCAGACCGGTCTATCCGACCAAAATAATCCAATCTCCCAATGCTTGTCCGTAGAAATGCTTGTCCGTAGAGGAACCGAACTATATAACGCATACACACGTATTCACATAACAAAAGTCAATCACAGCTGGTTGGTCACTTCGATGAAGTGCTCGAAGCTTCGGAGAGCGGCGCCGCTCTCAATGCACCAGCGCGCCCGGCGGACACCTTCCTTCCAGCGCCCGCCGCCAGGTCCCCGCTCGGTGATCACCTGGCCATCGTCCCCAGGACCCATGTTGCTGGTCTCTGCCTCGCAGATCCCGGACGTTACCAAAAGGGCTGCCACGTTCTGAAGCACAAAGCTCAAGATCGGGTCGTCGCGGGGCAGCTCGTTGCGCAGAATGCTCATGAGCTTTTCCGCATTGTCCTTGGGCATCTTCTTCCCGAACACCTCCGTCAGCGGGTAGGCCTTCAGGCCAAAATCGGACGGGTGCAGCTGGAACATTTCCATTTTGACCAGGGTGCGGGGGTTCTGGTCCTCGTCGCAGGAGCACTCGTCATCCTCATTCTCCGGCTGCTTGTACGCGGCGTTGGGGTACTCCGACAGCCTCCAGCAGTTGGTCGGCCCCGCGCAGCTGATCTCATCGAGGTCCTCGGCGCCGCAGACGACCATCGCCTTCTTGCATCCGTTCTGACGGAGCGCCTCCACGAAGACCGGTCCCAGGCTCTGGTAGGCCACGCCGACGACGCGGGCTTCGATGGCCCAATCGACAGGGTTGGCCAGGGGTCCCATGAGGTTGAAAATCGTCCGAAGGCCCAAGCCACGTCGCACAGTGTCAGCGTACCGCATGCCGTGGTGGAAGTTGGGCGCAAACAGGAAGGAGTAATTGGTCGCGGCGTACACTTTGCTCAGGTTCTCGGCGGTGACGGCATCGATCTTCGGAGGGATGGGTGCCACGGCCTGCAGGACATCGGCGGACCCAGAGAAAGACGTCTGTGCCCGATTGCCATGCTTCGCTGTGAGGAGAAGGGGGGAGGCAATGATGGAGGAGGTGGTCGAGATGTTGAAGGTGGAATGAGAGTCACCACCGGTTCCGACAATGTCGCACTATCGCTCGCGAGGAGGGTGGAACCGTCAGATAAGTCTACTATGAGGAGCGATCGGATCACTAGGCATGACATACCAGGCCACCTCTGTACTGTCCCTCCTTCTTACCACGGGACTTCATGGCCGCCTTGAGAGCCGCCTTATCCACCTGCACAGCAGCTTCTCTCATGCGGTGGGAGCATTTGGCGATCACCTCTGCATCACGATCGAGTCCGGTAGAGTGCAAGAGCGTCAGAAGCGCGGCAGTTTGGATCTGCGAGAGCCCATCTTCAAAGATCAGCGCAAAAGCAGCAGCAATTTCGGTCGCGGAGACCTGAACCTCTGTAGCGGGGTAGGCGAGTCTCTTGAGGAGGGGTGAGATGGAGACCTGTCCCTGCTTGGTTTCCTGATGCGGAGCGGCCATTGTTCCTGACGGCGAAGAAGATATCACTAGTCAGGTATTATAGCTTTCCCCAAAGGTGGAAAATGGAAAATATACTAAAATAAGAGGAGACAATAGAAGAGGCCGAAGTAGAAAGAGTCATTCGGTCCCCTCCGGCGCTGCACAAGCAAACTTGCAGAATCTCACCGCCCCAGGTTCCGTCTAACCACTTCGGGACAACAAGATTTCGTGCCATATTTTCGCCAGTCCGCGATCCTGCCCCAGACATTGTGATTGTCGCCGGCGTTGTCAATTCCACCGGACTTGGAGATCCTCATTTAGCTCTTGGGCCTACTCCCTCTACTGTGTTCGTCTTTGTTTCCTCTTTCTTCACGCCCTCCGTCCACGCCCTCCCACCATCACAATGCCTCCCCGGATGCGTGTCTCCAGCGGCCGGCTCGCCCAGTCAGTTCGACGCCAGAGACTCTGCCAGTATGAAATGGCCATTGCAACCCGATACGCCAGCACGGCGACGACCCCGGCCGCTTCCCACGAACAGATGACCCACTCGCACGTTCCGATCGCCCACTATCCCTCCTCGCAGCCCCCGTCATACCGCCGACCGGAGTACCGCCGCTCGCAGCTCCTGCGCCAGTATACCTCGATGATCCGCACGGCGCCGCTGATGGTGTTCCTGCAGCACGACAACCTGCAGTCGGTGGAGTGGACGGCGATCCGCCGGGAGCTGGGCCACGCCATGCGCAAGGTGGACGAGAAGATCGCCTCGGAGGGCCGCGACGCGCCCGCGCTGGCGCCGCACATCAAGGTGCAGATCGTGCAGACCCGGATCTTCGAGGTGGCGCTGCGCATCGTCGAGTACTTCCGGCCCGGTAGCAGCAGTACGGCCGCGGCGGCCACGCCGGACGCCGTCGACCCCGTCACGCAGACCTCCGCCGAGATCCCGCTGGACCCGAGCCTGTTCACGCACGACCTGTCGCGCGCCGCCCACGACGCCGTCCTCGACCACAAGGGCCAGCACGAGATGGCACCGCTCCTGGTCGGCCCCACCGCCATCCTCACCATCCCCCAGGTCTCGCCGGAGCACCTGAAGGCCGCCCTCACCATCCTGGCCCCCAAGGTCGTCGGCCTGCCCGCTCCGACTCGCAAGGCCAACCCGGGCTGGCACGAGATCCCCGTGCAGAACGGTCTGAGCAAGCTGTCGCTGATCGCCGCCCGCATGGACGGCCAGGTCATGGACGTCGAGCAGTCCAAGTGGGTCAGCAGTATCGAGGGCGGTATGGACGGTCTGCGGTCACAGCTGGTCACGGCGCTCCAGAGCATCGGCTCCAGCATCACCAACACCCTCGAGGGCGCTGGTAAGAGCCTGTACTTCACGCTGGAGAGCCGTCGGAGCGTCCTAGAGGAGGAGCAGAAGGGTCCTGAGGAGAAGAAGGATGAGTCCGCTTGAACAGGGCGGTGAATACAGTTGTGGTTTTCGGTGGGGGATGTCCAAGGTTTCCCTTTCTTTTTTCTGTGTATAATAACACCCGTGTGTAACTTCTTCTTGTTTGTGTTTGTTCTCAACCCATTTTAGCATATGAGATCGATTAGAGATCGGAGTCTACTGCTCAGGATACAATGACCTTTCTTTTTGGATATCGTTTTACTGCATGAACGTCGATCGTGCTTGCCTGAAGCTTTCGAAATAGGAGTAAATGGTATCTATGCAAACGTCCACTATCAAATGGATGTGGTAAACTTGCTACTTCAGATACATCCCCGCCCATCCTACCAATCATCCACCTGCGCCAGCCGCCTCTCCCTCACCCGAGCATTCATCCCTACAATACACCGCACCAGATCCCAGTCCCCATCCAAGCCCACCCAGTCTGTGACCAGGATGCCCGTGGACCAGTCCCCATCCTCCCCGCTGCCATGCCGTCTGCACAGATAATCCACCGTGGCGGGATTGACCTTGGCCGCAATCTTTTCGGGCCACGTGCCGACCTTCCAGAAATTACTGGCGCTGAGGAAATTGATATAGAAGGGATGGTCGCGGGTGGCGGACGAATCCGGCAGCACGCCGAACGGGTACACGGTGCCGCCGGCGCGCTGGCACTGATCGCGGACGTACTGGATCTTCTGGTCGATGTTCTGGGTGAGGAGGACCTCGTAGAAGTCCTGGATGCACAGCTGGCCGCTGGGGCAGGTGGCGTCGGCGCAGTTGTCGGCCCAGCCGCTGGCGTCGATGCCCCAGCCGTGGCCGTCGTGGAGCTCCTTGAGGTTGTCCTGGATGTTGAATCGGCGCAGCAGCACGACCTTGCCACGGACCTCGCCCAACGTCGGGATCTTGGGCTCCGTGTACCACCGGCTGCCGTCTTGGGAGGTGTAGTGGTCGCTGAGGATGCGGCTGAGCTGCTCGTCAGTGTGGGTTCCGGGCCCCTCGCGCTTGAGGGAGATGATCACCGCCTCCGACGGGTTTTCGGACAGAAACTCCTCAACCTCGCGCATCAGGTCCCGGAAGTACTTGCTCCCAGTCAGGGAGATGGGGAACACGCTGTGCACGAGGATCAGCTCGTCGCGGTCTGCGTCGTCCGGGTACTGCGGTTGGACGCGGATGTCGAAGAACCGCACCCCGTTGCGCAGCTGCTCGCGCGGACTGACCGCCTGGCAGCGCACCGAGGGCGCCGCGACATGGCAGGTCGGCGAGTTGTGCGTGCCCGGGATGGAGAGCGAGGAGAGCAGCACGTCGCCGTCGAGTTCCCGCATCCAGGCTTCAAGGTGGGCGGACGAGAAGATGGTCAGGTGCGACTCCGGGGTGATGAAGACGCCCGTGAGCCGGAACTTGGGGTCGTTGCTCATCGCCTTCATGGTGGCGGACTCGGTGGTCGGCACGGGGGTCTGGAGCTGGTGCTCCTCGCCCTCGACCTCGAAGATCCAGCGCAGGCGTTCCTTTTTCGACTCTAGGAACGCGCGGATCTCGGTCTGGACGGTCTGGAAGGGCGCGATCTCGAAGTCAGCTTCATTGTGGGTGAATGGCGTAGTGTCGTCGTGGATGGCGGCGACGGGCGTGGTGGCGCGAGTCACATTGGTGAGCACGCGGGTGAAGTTCCTTGCGAAGGTTTGCACCCCGTCGAACGACCGCTCCGGCGCGCGGAACCGCTCGATGCGCTTGAGCCGGATTGGTGTCGATGTGACGTTGCGGATGGTAAGGTGTTCGGCAACCATCTTGTAGCGTTCACTTATGCATGAGAAGTGGCTCGGGATTAAGGATAGATTGCCCCCAATCAATGTAGATGAGACGAAAGATCTAGGACACAAAAGGAAAAATTTTGCAACTGAGACCTAGATCAAGAAACTTTCGGATAGGGCTGAAGCTGTGGGCGAGTAGAAGAAATAGCCTACTGGTAGGCATCAGCCTTTCAAAACAACGATTGGGGCGCAGCTTATCATTGGCAGTGGCTAGCGCTGAAGGAGATCCCCCGGCTGAAGCAGCAAAGCAAACTGATGGGCTCGGCGCCAATGGAAGGCAAGACTTGATCCACCGCACCCGGAAACCTCAAGGATACCAAGGGTCAGCAGTCCTCTTAACAAACACTCGGTTGGTGTCTGGCTGGCTCTAGAGTATCACATCTTTCTGACAAGTGAGGTATTGCCATGATAGTGATCGACATAGAATCGCGGAAAGCTGATTCGCAATCGTGCTCCACTGATATATAAAGCACGGACCGTGGTAGGGAAAACATGGGTCCAGGGACTCATCCTCGAGTAGAATCATGAGGCTCATTTAAATGATCTTGAAAATAGCCTTCTCTGTGAGCATATTCCGGGTGAACAAGCTTGTCACATATCAATTTGGCTAGGCATGTCATTGGCATGAAACTGGGTAGGTTAATCCGCTGGAGAGGTAATGAGGGAAGGAAGTGGAAGAGATCCGTCGGGTGAAATATGACTATGTCACTGACTAGCGCAGGCGTATGTCATGCACCGGACCAACTCTCTTATAAGATCAGGTATGAGTCTATCCCGCAAAATGATAAATTCTCAATGGGACTCTACCGGTTGATCCATCACGATCACTCCCTCAACTATGCATACTCCAGCGGAAAAACGCACGGCCCGGAGATAATGCGGAGATGCGGAGAAGGATCACGTGCAATGACGCCGAGCGTCGGTTATCGTCGGCGGAGTCGCGTTTACTTACTTCCCCATCACCCATCATGCAGCGGGGAAGCTGCCTGGGTTTCTCTTTCTGTAACCCATCTTCTTTCTTTCAGTGTCTGGACTGACTTCAGATTATCATGAACATCTTACGGTGCAGTGGAAGCTTTTTTTGGGCTCTTCGCTCTGGTCAACGGTCGAGGGCCCTTCCGACCAAAACACTTACCATTCCTCGCCGGCAATTTCACAGAGCTGCGCCCTTGTGGGGAGTGAAGTCACAAGTACTGAAGGATGTCGGCGAGGGTATGAGCACCCCTATTATCTCACTTGAAATTTTCCAGACGTGGTTGTGCAACCCAGCCCGAATCGATTGTTTACCAACGTCTCCGCAGGGATAACGGAGGTCCAGATCATCCAATGGTACGTCGAGGAAGGGGCGCGTATCGAGGAATGGAAACCACTCTGTCAATACCAATCTGATAAGGCAGTTGACGATGTGAGTTAATTTGAATTCCCGACCCTCATGTTGACCTCATACTGATTTTTGTAGATCACGTCAAGATACGAAGGCGTGGTCAAGAAGCTCCATTTTCAAGCCGACGACACCGTCCCTACAGGCAAGGTATGCTACAAACAGAGACTCATAAACCAGCGTACTAAGTAATTCTGCGCAGGCTCTCTGCGATATCGAGGTCGAAGATGGGAAATACCCCGACGAAACTCCCCCGCCTAAGCCCATCTCCGAACCGATCACAATAGCTCCAGAGCCGATAATTTCACAACCCACGCCGGTCCAACCTCAGCAAGCTCCTCAGTCCCTGCAATCACAAGTTAACACTAGCACGCCAAAATCACCCTATGCAACGCTCGCCACCCCCGCAGTCCGAGGGCTGCTGAAGACACTGAATGTCAATATCGAAGATGTGCAAGGTACAGGCAAGGATGGCCGGGTCCTGAAAGAGGATGTACAGCGGTTCGCT